GGAGAGCCATCTAACCTCATTAGAAAGCATGCTCCAAGCGCTCCAAGCGGCCGGTCTTACCTTGAAACCCTCCAAAGTACAATTTGGACCACAGGAAGTAAAACACCTTGGACACATACTGTCGGCAAAAGGGATTCGTACTGGGGAAGATCGTATAAAATCTGTTATCGATTTGCCTGTACCCAAAACAATCAAAGCACTTCGCTCAGTATTGGGAATGGTGAACTATGTGAGGAAATTTATACCCGACCTTTCTACGGTGATCGCACCGCTAGTCGAACTCACACAAAAAGAGCATGTAAAATCGATCGCAAAACGTTGGAACCAGGAACATGATAAGGCTTTTGCAGAGATCAAACGGTTACTCAGCAAAGCACCTGTGTTATGTTTCCCTGACTTTACCAAAGACTTCGTGGTTCACGTAGATGCTAGTGAAGTTGGTGCAGGAGCATTCCTGGGCCAAAAGAACGGCGACGATGTGAATATTATCGCTTATTTTAGCCAACGATTTAACAAGGCTCAACGTCATTACTCTGCGACGATGAAGGAATGTTACGGTGTGGTTTTGAGTTTACAACACTGGCGACCCTACTTGTGGGGCAGACATTTCGAAGTTGTCACGGATCACGCGGCATTGAGATATTTGTACACAATGCAAGACACGTCTAATATGCTGACCAGATGGGCAATCGCTTTGCAGTCCTTTGACTTTACAGTGCGACACAAGCCGGGAAAGTTACATGTAGTCCCAGACACCCTATCTCGGTTGTTTGCGTTCGATCACCAACAACAGTTGGAAGCACCGCAACTTGCACCGATATGTAGGAATGTGCCTGATGACCCTGCGCTGCATTCAAATGTCCCACCACGTCCGTACCAAGTGTCTGCAGATCGTTTGGAAAACTTGCGACCGGTTCAAAGTGATCGCGAATTATTCGCTGAGAAATCAGTTTATATTAGCGCGACCAACGTATTTGAAACTATTAACCGCGATATCTTGCGTGAAAAACAAGCTCTTGAATATGGCAAATATATCGACTATCTTACAAAACCTGACGCTCAATTACCTGATGACGAGACAACCACTTCCACGTCGTACTACTTCGTGCGTGATGGATTGCTGTTTAAATCGTATTTACCAGGCTACCTCCGGAAACGTAGTACGTTTAGTGACCAATTAGTGTTGCCTCACGCCCTTACCGGACTAGTGCTACACGCCTATCACGACCACTTATTATCTGGAGGCCACTTAGCGTCTAGACCGACTTATGAGAAGATCCGCCAAAAGTACTGGTGGCCAACCATGAATCGGGACGTCCGTACTTGGTGTCAGGAATGCCAAGCCTGTCAACGTCGAAAAACAGCCCACAACCAAAACAAATTACCAACGGGACATGTACAAGACCGTTTGAACGCGTTTCGGTTGACCTAGTTGAATATAAAGTAGAATCAGTTTCAGCCGCCGGGGTACGGTGCAACTATGTCCTATCCATGATGGACCACCCAACCCGATTCACCGTGTTGACTCCGATTCCCAACAAGTCAGCAATCACTGTCGCTCAGGCCATTATCGACCGCATCATCAGCATCTTTGGATCGCCTGAAAAGTTCATTCCGACCAAGGACCTGAATTTGAGAACAGTGTAGTCCAGCAATTACAGCGTATTCTGAACTAAGAAAACCCGCATGACACCATACCGCCCGCAGGGTAATTCTGTCTCAGAACGAGTACATGCTACCATGCACGCAATGCTTGCCATGCATAGTTCCATGAACCGCGATAACTGGGCATCACTGCTGCCTTTTGTCCAACTGGCTTACAACACGTCATTTAGCTCCACCATGCATGAAACACCATTATTTCTTATGTTTGGTCGGAAGCCACGACTACCATTATTCTCGGCATCCCTCATGTGGGAACAATAGCAAATACCGAGGAATTCTCTAAAACAACACAGGAAAATCTACAGGTTGCCCTTGAACTAGCGCGCCGTAACCTATCGGAACGCACACAAAAACAAGATGCCAAGAACGCTAAACTGCGCCCTATCCCTGTGTTTGAACCTGGTGATCTAGTACTTGTGTACCGCCCATACCAGGATTCGGATGGACCAAATCCGAAATTATTGTTACCATGGAGAGGACCTCATCTGCTCTACATTATCACCGGTGGTATATAGAGTGAGACGCCAGAACGAAACTCGGAAACTCGTGATAGTTTCGGTCCATTTAGCGCACATTAAACAGTACTACGCGAGGAAAACGCCACCTGCGCCAGACTTTGATAAACTTTCCGAGTTTTTCTTAGGACGCCAGATTCCGTTGCCCGAGCTAGACCATCCCGACGAAGCTCAACCGAAAATTGAATCCTACGTCGTTGACAAAGTGGTAAGCGAGTGGTAGCGGGCCGAAAACCCCGTACAACTACAAGTATCGTTTGCGTCTTCGATGATACGGCCCTGAGTCAGACCTTGAATATAGAGCAGACGAAATTCCACAATGTCAAGAAATGATAACTGCCTACCGAATCCGTTGTGGTATGGAAATCGTTCAGCCTGATAAATGGTCGTCTCGTGCCCCAGTGGAACAGGGAGACCCAAAATCACCCAGTAAAACAGGGAAACGAAAACGAAAACAGGCAACTACTCCTCAAGAACCTTTAAGTCGAAAATTGGTTACGCAACGTGGCTCTGAGCCATCGAACAAAACCAGGAAGCGACGAAGAAGGCTCCTAAAGGAGGTTCCATTAGCCAAGTCGCGTTCTGCTACGACACAGAGTGATACTCAATTGCCCTGCCGTACTAGCAAATGAAAACGAACTAGGGCCCGGAAATTAAACGATTGATTTATTCTATCGTTCCTATCAGTGCCATGTCTATCTTTTCCGAGCCTTCGGACATATTTAGCACAGGGACCAGTAGCCACGGTGGTTGGTTGTATCCAGTGGAAACAACCTATTTGAAGTGTTTGGGGAAACACTCGCGAGGAGAGTTGAATTATACCACCGCTATTCCAAGATCTTATTTTTGATGAATAGATAAACTTGCCAGAGGGTCACCTCATTACAAGTTTATTCCTCATCACGATCTTATTTTATGATGAATAGACAGACTCGCCGGAGGGTCACCTCATTTCGAGTCTATCTATCATCAAGATTTTCAAGTATGATGAATAAACAAACTTGCCAGAGGGTCACCTCATTACAAGTTTGTCCCTCATCAACCCCACAGCATAGCATGCTACGCGAGCATGATCATGCGAAATGTTTTAGTACACTAGCTGTCATCATGATAGCCCAGTACCCACCAATTTTTTTTCTATACTATACTAGTATGGACCACATCTATCACTACTCCTTCTGAAGACTCCGTGCTTTTTAACACGCATTGTACGATAATCAGGCCGAGGTGACGATGTTGTACCGGGTAGGTTAACTCCGATACATGTGTCTCCATGAGCCACTCATGTCTATGGCCGCCAAAAGCACATCTTTAGCATAGATGGACTTGTGGCGCATAGAGGGGGGGGTGATGTGGAGGACACCTGTCGGGAGTATAACCAACCATGTGTGCACATACAAAGTGTAGGAAGATATGGCTCCCTCGGGGTATCTTGTCACAGGGAGAGTGACAGGAAATGCGCCATCGGAGATTGATATCTTCCGAAGTCCCTGGCCACTTGCCGAAAGTGGAAGCGGAGAGTCTTCGACTCTCCTCTCCCTCTACTCGCTCTGGCCACTCTCTCTTTCTACCCTCTTCTCCTCGTTTACATGCTACGAGAGGAAATAGCCTTCCCCTGGCAGTGGGATAATACTGCCAAGGCAACGGCCTCTGTCTCCGATAGTAGCCAGGGTCTACACAACCCGTTGTTCTTGAGTTTTCGTCAGCGCAACCTTGGCTCGCCACCCGCTTTTGGCTGTAGACCGAGAGCAAGAAAACACCACCTGTACCATACCCCCGCTTGTTTCTTGTGTGCGGTCGTTTTTGTTGAAGGTGGATATCGCACAGGAGTTCCGCGACCACGTCATCTACTTCCCGTACAATATGGACTTCCGGGGACGGACGTACCCCATACCCCCGAACCTGAACATCCTGGGGTCGGACTTTTCTCGAGGGGTCCTGGTGTTCGACGAGGCCAAACCGCTGGGGGAGAAGGGGCTCTACTGGCTCAAGGTAGATGAAGGAAGCCATCGAAAGACAAAGCATGTATGCATATGCATTACATGTATGCGTATGCATCAGCTTGTTTGTTTTTTCGGAGATTGTGGTCTGCTTCCTCTTGCCCCTGGGTGTCTTTTTGTGTTGGTCGTTGTTGTGGTGCTTGTGGTGATTCTTTCGAACCCCTTCCTGTCGGCGATTTCGTGAAACCTTTCTCTGTCTTACCCTTACTTTTGAGTAACTTTGTTTGTGATGGTCTTGTGCCTATACCTGCCTGTCTTGCCTGTGTTGGGCTTGGTTCAACCGCGTTCAGGTGCATCTGGCGAACTTGTACGGAGAAGACAAGGTTTCCTTTGACGACCGCGTCGCTTTCGTGGAGAAGCATATGGACGAGGTTAGTAGCATGTAGCATGCATGTGTACGGCCGAATTAATGGCCACTGGTAATCCCAGCATACGTACATAATCGCAGCTTCTCCCTCGTCGTTAGGAGGGTTGGAAAATCGTCATTACCACGAATGAATGTCGAAGCATACGCATTGGCAAAAACGACAGTCCTGGCGAGAGGTGAGACAAGAGAGCAAGATGTCCCCTGAATCTACTCGACGGTGGCTAAAGTTTCTTGCCCTTTTCTTGTTGGCGCGTCCTCCATCTACCCGTGCCCGTCGTGTCTCGGTGGTGGTGATGGTGGTGGTCTCGATGACGACGGCAACAACCACAGGTTCGAGATAGCGCCTTGCGGCCGCTGGAGGGCGAGTGCTGGTGGAAGGACGCGGACAGTCCCTGGCAGTGCCTCGCCGTGTGTGCCGACCTCACGGCTGCCCTGGACAGCCCAGACCCCGCTCGGTATCTCTCGCGACTGCCCGTGCACCAGGACGGTGAGACGAGATACGGTGGAGGGGGCTATTAGGTCAAGATAAACATACGCCTCATGAAGACGCTTGACGCCATCTCGTTGTAGCTTTGACAGGAGTTCGCTTAACTTAGTGTGGTTTCGTTTGCAAATGAAAAGGCCGCGCACCTTTGTTTTATGTAGGTGTAAGGAATCGTATCAGGTTGAGAAGATTCGTTCCGCATCCTGTTTTTAGCCAATAGTCCAACGCTGTGGTGTCACTCGCTCGTTTCCCGCGCTCTCCTCGACAGTGGTGCTATCCTTGGACCAGGACTTGGTGTTTGTTGACCAGTGGCCAGAAACAAAAAAATGTGCTTTTCGGAACAGACAAGAACAAGTCTCAGCTATACGTACGTACGGTGACCAACCCACCAAGCAACATCTGTTCGGCGTTGCAATCGACGTCCAATACCACACCCACCGCGCAGGCTCATGTGCTGTGTAGTGCATGCATAAATAACACCAAGCGCTCGTTCGTTCGTTGGTGCTGCTCCGTTTGTTTTGGTCTGGTGTCCTATCTCAGGTTCGTGCAACGGGCTGCAGCACTACGCGGCGTTGGGGTTGGATGCGAATGGCGGGGCTCAGGTGAACCTTTCCCCTTCCCCCGAACCTCAGGACGTGTACAGCGGGGTGTGTGACGTCGTCAAGAAGAAGGTCAGTAGCTGCGTTTGACGTTCGTTATCGCCGCACGAGCTCTGAATTGAGAATGGTGTTAAAACCTGGTGAGTTCGCCCTTGAACTGCAGCTCCTCGTACGAGAACACTTGCACTCGGCATGATGACATTTTTTTCACGATTCCGGTGACAGGTGGCACTTGAGGCGAGCACCGTGCCTCCCGAGGGCGCATCGGTTGTTGACCTCGCGAACCACGAGATCGCCAAGATGGTGGATGGGCTCATAGACCGAAAGGTGGGTTGAGTGGGGCCAGACCCAGGTTCAGACCAACAAGTCTTGGCTGCGTTATTGCTGGGTTTTTTTCATGTGCTGGAAGAGGTGGGAGAAAGCAAGTCAGCTAGCTTGTTGCGGTACTAGCTGTTGTCCCATGTTTCGTCACCTTCTTGTCACGTTCATCCCGACCTTGCTTTGCTGCTACTTATGTACTGCGGGCTGCTCTGTGTGTCTGTCGTTCTTATCGTTGAGGAGTGATGCCGTATACTGTAGGCAGAAAAAATGGTGTGTGGTGATGATGGTGGTGAGGCGGTCGTTACCTGATGGTGTGTTTGCTTTACAACGCCTCCTGTTGTCCTTTGTCCCATGCTGTCCTGTCCTTGCCTCAACAGGTGGTGAAGCAGACGGTGATGACGAGTGTGTACGGGGTGACATTCGTGGGGGCTCGAGCACAGATACAGAACGTTCTGGGAGACAAGATGATTGGACACACGGACGAGAGCGGGGTAAGTGGGAGAGAGATCCAAAGAGTCAAAACGTCAGGAATGACGCGGTGTGCTGCTTGCACCTACGTGCCGTCTCAAAAGTGCAGAGAGGGTCCATGCAGAGACACACAGTTCAGCGTCCCGCTGCTCCCCTATCCATTGTTCCACTGCGATAGTTTGGGACTTGAGCGTTATTGTTGATGCGGTCCTCTTCCTCTTGCAGTTGTGCACCTATATCCGTATCCTTTAAACTTTTCGATGTGTGTTCATGTGCCCAGTATTGTTTCGTGTCCCGGCTTCTCTCTGCCTCATCTAATACGTCCTCAGAGGAGCGCAAGCATTCGATTCGATGGATTTCGATGTCGCCTCACAGCAATTCCTCGTTCGGTTCCTTTTGTATGCCCGCTCCTGTGCCGGTGTACCTTTCATGGTGCAGGTGCCCAGCGCAGAAGTGGAGGAAAACGTCTACAAGGCGTCCGCCTACGTTGCCAAGCACACGATGACGGTCCTCGAGGAGCTCTTCACGGAGGCTAGGTTAGTCCATCTTCATCCCTTCCCCGCCCCGGGCCACACGCAAAACAAACGTTCCGTTTTTTTTTTAACCCCCTGCTGTAAGAGTTTTTCGTGTCGCAGAAGAAGCTTCAAATGAACGTTGAGCCACATCGATTCGAGGTCCCGTCGTGAGCCGGCTCGAGGCGGTCGAATCCTGCTGATGCTTTGAAGCACGTACGTTGCTGTATTGTGGTGTTTTCGTGCTTTCTGGTGCAGGGGGGCAGGCATGGTCAAGCCACCGAAGAGTTACATCGAAGTGCGTTCGGTGGTCACAACGATGCCGAAGGCTATAATAGTATTTTCGTCAGTAAGATCCACATGTACTCTGAAGTATTACTGATCTCCTCAAGCGGGGCGGGTGTACTGGACAGAACTCCATTGGAGCAAAGTATTTCACCACTATCATGCACGTCAGTGAGATTGGCCGTGTGCTCTGCGGTGTTGGTGGCCTGTGCCCTGTGGTGTGTGTCGCAATGTCATAGACGCCTGTTCCACAATCCCGTGCAATGCTTCGTCTCTACTCTCATCGCCCTGGATGTTTGTTTTGAACACGACGTACAGGAATACGATGGATTGGTTGAAGGCCGTGTCGCAGCTGGTAGCCAAGGAGGATCAGCCGATGTCGTGGATCACTCCCCTCGGCCTGCCCGTGCTGCAGCCCTACCGACGGACCGACACCTATCAGGTATGGATGAGACAGGGCAATACATATGGGACGGGACGGCGGTATATTAACGCGGGACGTCCAGCGTTGTATGCTACACAGCTGCCGGCAGTACAGAGGCTGCAGCCGTTAGGTAATTGACACAAGTCAACGGAAGGGTGCAACAGGAAACTGAGATTCCCAAAAAAGAAATGTTAATTCTCTCCCGCCCGCCTCTAAATCATTGTGGTGATTTCACGTTGGTTCCTCCTGTACACACGCGCCAGGTGCAAACGCTGCTACAGGGCGTTCACATCCGAGAGGACAGCGACAAACTCCCGGTTGCCGTCAAAAGGCAGACGACCGCTTTCCCACCAAATTTCGTCCACTCCCTGGACTCGACCCACATGATGATGACGGCTATCGAGATGGACAAGGTCGGGGTGCCCTTCGCGGCCGTGCACGATAGCTACTGGGTGCACGCGGGGAACGTCGATGTCATGAACGACAAGCTGCGACAGGTGCCGTGTTTGTTGGACGGCTGTGTGTGTATGGGGTTGTGCAGTTGACAGAAAAACAAACGTGCCTCCCTTTCGCTGGTAAGGATTGTGTTTGTCCCGAAATGAAAGAGGCTTTAGGCACTATTTTCTAAGCACTCGCCCTCCTTGTCTCTGTTAGATGGGCAGTTTCAAAGTGCATATCCTCGCCTTGCCGCGCAAATGTCTCTTGCTGTCCCCGGTCCGTGACCTGCGATGCCCGAATCTCCCAACGCCGATCTGTGCTCCCTGTCTTGGCAGTGCTTTGTGGACCTCTACTCCGGACCTATTCTTGAGGACCTCCACGATTCGCTGCGGATGCGATACCCGACGATAGACTTTCCCCCCATCCCTGAGAGAGGGACTTTGGTGTTGGACAGTGTCAAGGATAGCAAGTACTTCTTCAATTGATGGGATCAGATCGATTGTGACTGGCTGCGTGAGACCCGAGTGGGGTGTGTCGAAAGAGAGGTTGAGTTATTGAGGCGCCGTTTGTTTTGCTGCTTTTGTGACGTGTGCTCGAGGACCTGCTGCCTTGACCTACGTCTCGGAAACGTAGGTGATGACTACCCCACTGCACTAAGCTAGCCCACGTGATGGCCATCGTGCAGTCTCTGAAGGAAAATCGTGTCCCTACAAGACCGTTCTCCCATGTGGCATGTTTTGTTGGTCGCGCTTCCCCTGTGTGCTTCCCTTCTTGTGTATTATCGCATGTCGTCTTCAAACGGGGATGCGGAGTGCTTGTTTGTGTGTCTTACCGTACAGTGGTAAAAAATAACTCTAGTCAAGACTAGTCCATTCTGCCCCTTGTCTATCCTTGAGGCGTTCACTATATAACAGATGTCGAGGGATAGACGCATGTGTGATGGTCGTGGTGGTCGAGGCGAAAGAAAGCTGTGCGCGATCTGCCATAGACCTGCCATAGACCTGCCATCGGTGGTGCGGTTGTGATGGTAATGCATGGGTTGAGAATTAACCTTGTTGTCTGTTTTCTGGTGGTGATCATAGACCGGTCAATAAGCGACCGATGAGCAGTAACTGGATGTCGCTTTTTGGTGGTGACCCTTTGGTTGTGTCGATCACACCCTCCATAGCTCTACTTCCAACGGGGGTTTCGGTGCACCATACAATACTCGGATGCAACACCAGGAATCGCACGATCAGACGATTTTTTTTTTATTTGTTGTGGTGCACGCTTGGGCTTGTTGTAGTATGCTCGAAAGTAACGCTGCTCTTCCCTGTGCCCAAAACCCCGGTGCTGTGGGGTGACGACATCCAACTAGTCCGACGGATGCGTTTTGCATGCCTACCAAATGCGTACGTTAGCGTCGACGCGTTCTTCCTCCACCCCGCGTTCCTACGCCACGTTTCTATGGCATACAATTTTATGGCGTACTGATCTAGAAAGCTTCAGCTACGCTTGGTCAGAGAGACACCATACTGCTGTTCTGTTGGCAACGTCGGCAATACATACATGGTTTTCGATTCCCTTCGGGGTCCTCAGATTCATTTGCAGCAAACCGACCAACCCACCAGCAGCAAGTAGTTGCCCCGTGCACAGCTCCGTCGAGAATGAGCAGCAGCGCATGCCTTGGGACATCGTTTGCCGCCGAGAGGCCGTGTCGAGCCAGACGAGGAATAGTAATTCAAGCCCCTCCTCTACAATAGGGGTTCGTTGTTGAATTTCACTACAAAACACGCAACTCTGTAACACATGGTCCAAGACAAAATAAAAGACGCAACACGCAGCACACCGCTTGTAGGTTGTGGAATCAGCGAACAAATCCGGCTCACGCCGATAAATACGGGCAAAATTACAAGAGTAACAAAACAACTGATGCGGCCTAGATAAAAAATGAGACGGCAACACAAACTTGAAGTAAAATCCGATCGCGTGCTGCCCACACGCATCATTCCGAGGCAGGCAATACTCCATGTTCGCCTAAACATATCCACAGCAGTTTTATCACACCACCCTTAAAACATTGACAGTAACAACCACGGGGGCGCCCTCTCTCTCTTCAGCGCCTGCGGGGCGGACGCCAACGTGTTCAGCCGTCATGCCACACCCGATCTTCCTCTAGCGCCAGCTTCTCTTCGGTTGACTCTCCTGTACATGGCCTGTAACCGCTCGTACCTGTCCAACATGTCAACAGCCAACATCGAATGCAAGCGGCAGCACGGAGAACGGTTTTGTATAGTCACAGACAGCATGCTACACACCTGAGTTTATCGGTTTGATACACCTGGGGGGAAATGGGGGTAGGACGCAAGAGGCAAAGGATGCTGCATGCAAGTGGGACCTTTGCCTGGACCTCGAGTACCTCATACCGATCGCTTTGCTGCTCCCAAGACCTCCTACTGCTGCTGCCTCCGCACCGGTGTTGCAACTCTGTGCCTCACCTCGCTTTCATGGTACCGTTGGCGCTACCTCCCGATAGGGTACTACTACCCCGCAAAACCGCCGCGTCACCCGGCGGGCCCTCCGCGCCGTCAGCTGATCTTGTCGACAGCCCCCGCCCCGTCCCGCCCCAGCCACCGGGAGACCCACCAACCCGGCCCTGTACACAGGGGACGCGACGGCTATCTCTCGGTGGTAGCCACCGCCCCCCTGCGCCCTCCGCGCGCCCTTCGCCCAACCCGGGGTTGGGGGGAGGTGAAAGAGAACGGCAACGCACGGATGGTTCGGAATCCGACGCGGAGTCGAACGAAGCGTCTTGTACCCCCAGATGTCTTCGGCGCACGCCGTCGTTCCGCGCCCGGAAGTCTTCTCTCGTCAAGGAGCGCTGCCGAGCAGCAGGGCGTGATGCGGTCGGCGGTGGGTCGCGGCGGGAGTCTTGTCCTTCGGCTCGTCGGCGGCTCGGAGACCTTGATTGAGAATGAGACCGAAGCTCTGCCAGGATCCAGCTATCCGTGCGGGGAAATGTAACAGCGAGGACAGGGGGGGAGGGGGGGGGATGGGGGGGCAGCGGCTTCCTTTATTTGTAGCGTTCTACTTTGATACGTCGAACGGCAAAGGAAAGAAGCTTCCGGCACTGTTGTCGATCCACAGGACGAAACGCGTCGTAGCACGCTGCGCTACGCACGCATTTTCTCTCGTTTGCGAGCCTGGCGAGGGGAGCACGATGCGGGCTTGGGGAGCGAAAACGATATCATTTGTGCTGCAAATTGAATCAGGTAGAGGGGATTCACCCCTCTCGCACATTGAAATGCCGCCGTCAACACTGAGACTGCTCGATCACGTGTTGAGTAGGGCCTGCACGAGAAGTGGACCGCTGCCTGCACCAAAGCTCACCGGTCACGTTCGCGTGTCCTGCTCCGGAGCTTGCCGTCGCTGAGACGATCTTGCAGCATGCGATTTTCACGGGCCAGATCTTGCGACTCGCCTTCCACCCGGGCTTTCTCCTCCCGCAATTTTACGGCCTCGAGCCGAGCCCTCTCGATCTCTCGCGACGCCTGCGTTTGTTGCGGACAGAGTTGGAGCGACCGCTGCCGTGAGGCATGATACCCCTCGTGATAAAATCGTGCGGTGTCCTATCGCCTCTGCGTAAGGCAGTGCAAGCTCCAGAAGTAGGCCTCATTGGCCCGCACCGGATACCCGGATTGCTGGGGTGCTACACATGCTCAGCGAACCCCTGAGTGAGACTACTGTCCTGTTTGTCTTGCTTCGAAGCGTGCTGGGAGCCCTACTTTCTCCAATACCACCCTAACGCCATGACTAGCTCGCAGCCACATTACCACACAACAAGCTGCTACTTCTACAGCATGCAGAAGCTGATTGCAGCACCTTCCTGAGCTTGCCCGCTAGATCTGCCGCCTGCGCTCGAGCGGTTTCTGCCTCTCTCTCTTTCTCCCCTTGCTGGCGACGTTGCTTTCGGGTTTCCTTCAGGCGCCCCTGAACAGCAAACGTCGGTCAGCCAAGAACAAAAAAAACGTCAGAGTCAAGATGCTGGGGTCGAATGTCGCAACTAAAAACACAGAAAGACTGCCTGACTGCCTGACTACCTGATGGACTGGCCCGTATCCCTGAGAAGCAAGCAGACAGCAGGTTCGCCACCACGTGTGCGTCCCCGGTAGTGCAGAAGCTTACCTCCTATGCATACAGCAGTATAGTGCGATCAACAGTCAAGCGTGGCCATCACGCACCCCTGTACAGAGTAAACCAGACCGTGGTATCCGGCTCCTTACCTAGGGCAACAGCTGTCTCCATCCCTTCACACCATCAGACTACAGACCCGACATCCACCCTGAAGCAACACTCAAGACGCGGCACGGCACACCTTGGCACCCCTCCGGCTCTCCACGATCTCTTGCCTCGCCTCCGAAAGAGAGTTCCTTGTCGATTCTAACTCAGCTTCTAGGCTGACTGCTTTTGCCTGCGCAGCACTGTTAACACGAGAGGATAGAAAAAGGACAGTAGGTCCGAGTAGCGATGAGGTGAGGGTAGGGGTACAGGCACACTCACGGCACATCACGGCTTGGTCCGCCACTATGGTTTCTGTGTTGGTGGCAAATATATGTCTGGTCTGGTACTGTAGTGGACTTGCGCGCGCATTCCGGATAAGATATACCGGCACCATCTTATATTTGTCTGCGAAATATTTTTGTACCACGCGATCTGCACCGAAAACATGCCCGAACTCTATTTCGTTGTCGATGTACCTGTAGCTGTGCTTGAGAGATGCCACGATCTCCCTGCTCCTCTGTTCTTTCGCCTTGCTTTCCCTGAGGCACCTCTCCAGAGTTTCGGTCCGCCCCTTGCGAGATTCGGATCACATCACACGTTCAAATCGTTGGCTCGATCATCAAGAAGTTGAACTGCACTTTGCAACCTATGTAGAATCGACCCGGATCCGTCATTCGTCCTATCCCAAAAGAGTTCAAACCCCAAGCTGCCAAAAACCCAACAGCAGAGATGTGATATGTGCTATCATTCCCGAGCATGGCGCACCGAACGGCAACACGCACTGTCCAATACCACTCCATGGCCGATCGTTACACGCTCGCGTTTTCAGTCCGTCTGTGATGCACCAGAAGCGTTTAAAAAAATACGGTTTCGAGAAGGGGTTGCCGTAGACATCACAATCTGTGGTCAATCTCGAAAAAATTGAACAAAAAAATTGAGCCAACTTGCTACTACCGGCTTATCTCTCGAGTGGCGGTGCGTTGCCGCTGTATTCCTGGTGTCCCAGTAGGGTAGATTATGATTAGTATTGTGTCTTGTCTTGTTTAGTACGGTAGTCACCTCCGCAGCAAGGGCCCGTTTCTTGAGGGCGCTTGGCCCGTTTTCTCCAGCGGCCTTCTGGCGTCCATGGTGAGTGCTGGCACAGCAAGAGCACTTTCCTCCGGCCACTGACGAAGGAGTGGCAGCGAGTTTCTTCTTGAGCCGCGAAAACTCTTCTTCGCTGCTCACACGAACGATTGAGACCAGCGATAAGAGCAGGTGTTGATAGTGACGTCAGGTTACTCTTCCTTGGGCTGTTGAGGCTGATTGCCCATAAGGAGAAACTGTTTCACAACACTGTCGGGGCATCATTCATGGCCTGGGTGGACATTCAGCTGGCAAGCTTCGTCGTGGGACCTCTTGCACTACTCTAGTACTTCAGGAGCATGTCTCACCGTATTCTCGCGTCGTCCCGCAGCGTGTTGGCCTGGTGTTCCAGCTCGTGGATAGCCCTCCTCAGCCCTTCTAAGCGTAACTTAAGGGCAGCATTTTCCTCTTCCAAGTGGGCCTTTCTTTTCCGCGGTCCAGTTAGTCCGATCAGTGACGTCACAGTCACAGTGGTGGTCCGCAACAAGAAACAACGAGCCGGTAGACAGCAAGAGGCACGAGAAGGGAGTCGTTAGGAGTAGAACCACCTGGCATCTTCTGCTTACGAACGGAGGCATGGAGGGGCGAGTCTCAAGCTTGCGGGCAACAAACGCTGTCGAATGCTGCATAAAACACTACTTGTGTGCACCAGGGAAGACTCATAGGCAAACGAGGGTACAGATTTGAGGTACATAGTCTCGCTCGCCCAGGTGGTGGAAAACATTGAAAAATGCCGACAGCTAGGTCTGAGGTTGAATCCCCGCGAGTGTGAGTCATCTTCCGCATTTGGTACCTTTGCATGCGCTGATGGAAGGAAATGCTGGACCATTCCCGAGAAAAAAAATGGAGCAGGCACAGCCGAGGACGCACTTAGTGCGACGCCCAGATTGGAGCTCTACAGTTAGGGAGGTGAAGATCGAATACTGTGCTGTGGGTAGAACAAAGACAACGCGATGAGAAACTGAGCCCATCGACGTTAACCTCGTTCTGCATCACTATAACCAGCCTTTGAATCAAAAATCTATCTGCTGTAAGAGACACATCTTCAACGTCAAGCACCCCCATCTAATATACGAATAAAAATATTATCCTAACCCTATGCATCAAGTAAATAACGGCTGCAAATGTCCCCACTCCAAGCGACTTCTCACCTGTCGCTGCATCTGCTTCTGCCCGCGAGCATCCTCTGCATACACTGCGTGCCTCCGATCCCTGTGAGAGCCCGACGCAAACATCAAAAACCGATTCTTGGCCGATTCTTGCTCTCAACAGCAATTGTGTTACAGAAAGCAGGAGCAAACAAGAAGGGAGTGAACTTCGTACCGAGGCATGAGTTTTTCGCTTGCCTGGGGCCCAACGATGACTGCTGGCACGCAAGTCTGGGTGGGCCGGCCTACACCCTTCCCAGCTTTCGACGCCCACCTGTCGGGTGTCTTGAAGTGCTTGGTCGGCAGAGCGTAAGACGGGGTAGGTCGGGCATGCCCGTAAGTCGAAATACTGCCCCGCACCCGCCCCCCGGGACGCCGCGAGGAAGAACATGCAGGCTCTCCCTCGCTCTCCTCCCAGACCTCGACCACGTCATCTACGACTTCGGGACTGTGGCTCCGATGCCGATCTCGGTCACCACTGACTTCGCCCTCGCCCTCATCCCGCTGCCGACGCGACCGTCTCGTGTCACTCCTATCGTTCCGACGCTCTTCTACGCGCGTCGAGGCAGGCCTATCGTGATGCGTTGCGTCCTCTTGATCGCTGTCAAAGCTTTCATCGTCGTCGACTTGTCTCGATGGTGTGCTCTGCTCAGAGCCCTGGAGAACACCAAAGACATGTACATAGGTGCAGCAATTCAAGGCACAACAGCATACTAGCTAAACAAAATCACAGAGAGCGGTGGCTGCGACACTACTATGCTGCACTCACGTTAGTAGCCCATGAAAATTATATTCTTCTAACTGCACCAGCGACTTAGTGGGCACGCCAACCACTCCATAGAGCAAGAGCAAGATGCAGTATCACAAAGAGAGATACGCCACCACCTGTACTGTACGACTCCAAAAGCAAAGCAGTATACACAATTTTTCATTACATCACTTTGCCACGACTCAAATTCAGTGTACCACCAACGGATTTTGTTCGACCTCACATCTTTCGCACGGTTTGTCAACTTACCTCTTCTTTTGCGTCCTCGGCAGGCGCAGCCTTCGCCACATGTCGTGCACGTGCAATACCACCGCCCGTCCAACTCTCCATCCCAGCGGGCCCGCCATTACCCCCCAGCTGCTTCTCAGCACCCTCTAAGGCAGAACTCCAGCGTAAAAGCTCACTGCGAAGTCTCGCCGTTTCCACCCCATCGTCCTCTCCAAACGCTACAGGAGCGCTCGGGCGCCCGCCCGTCCGGTGCGTATTCCCATTCCCAATGCCAACCCTCGCCGATTGGCGTACTTCCGGGTTCGGGGATGTTCTTTTCCGAGTCCTTCTAGACTGGCAGTCGACTGCACGCCTTGACGCCTCGTCCGTTTCCCCTTGAGTACCAAACCCCCAAGCAGACGAAGTTCCTGTTGTGCCAGAGCCGAGAGTGTCAGATCCACAATAAACTGTACCTATGTTGAACTTTAATATGGTCAGCAGGAGTGACAATTCGTGAAAAAGGAAATAAACCGACGTCACGGACCAGGACCCCGCCTCAAACCATCAAACGCAGGGAAGGAAGAGCAGCGGTTCGAGCCCAGGGGCCCCGAAGACAGCAGCATCACCCACGACTCTCTTGATTCCACGCGGCCCCGCCATTCCTCATAAATAGTGATACCGATGGCCTATGAAAAAGTGTAATAAGAGCTGATAATAGCTGACTCACCGGTAGCAGTAGTAGGCGGCCGTCGTGGACGTTGGTTGCCTGCCCTCGGCCCCTTGCGGAGCACTTGGCTGGTGGCAAACTTTAGATTCTGCTCGTCCAACAGGCCAAGCTTGTCGCCTGGTTCACGAGCGGTGGGAATCACCATTAAACCCACGTACCGACTGATCGCGACTTGTGTTAACTGCTGTCATGGCGACTACTGTAGTGTGTGACTGCTGTGTGGCGTCAAACCGTGAACCGTGAACCGACGCTTCGTGCGATTCGTACGCGGACGTTCGCATACTATACGTTGAGATTCCTCACGCGGAAGCTAGATTAATTACCGGATCTCACCTTCTTCCTTGCGATAGTTGGAGACAAATTCCAAGAGGTGCTTTGCATCAACCCCGGCCTCCAGCATGCCACCCACGTCCACACCTGCAGCCTCCGCTGCACGAGCATACTCTCCTCCGTCATCCCAAGCTAAGTCAGCCGGCATGGCCGAACCACGATTGCTGCTTGAAACCGAAAATGAAAAAATGAGTGTGTTTGAGGGGAAATGAGGTTGACCATCGCACCACGCTGACATCGTAGGAATGCGAAGGGACTAGCGTCTGGACACGCCTGTCGGCGAGGGTTGGACAAGTTGGTGTACCCCTGCTGAATGTCTTGTGTACAACCGGACTGTTGTCGACTCCTTCACTGGGGACAGACAACTTGTACAGATCACTCCCCACCGCTTTCCCCTCTCTGCCTCCCTTTTCCGAGTCGCTCTCGTGTTCAAGGATGCTTCTCAAGAGATGTCATCGGGCGGTCTCTCCGGAGGGCCATCGCTCGCCACGGAAACAGGGATGCTGGTCGCTCCAGACCAAGACATGTGCCGGCCGGATGCTATTTAGTCAACTGGACGTGCTGACCTCCAAAGGATGTGTCCAGCAGGCGCAAGAATGATGCTCTCTTCCCCATGCCCGCTCAAACTTGATTCTTCAAGCAACATACCGGCAGAGTGATGTAGACACTGCCTCCTTCGTGCAAATTTATCGAGTGTGCAGCACCATGCTGGCAGCTTGGATGCCAATCTTAGATCCATCTACAAACGTTACAGCAGCCTCTCCTGCCCCGTGAGCGTATGTATCGAATTGTGTCAAGAGTGAAGAAATACCAACGTCCAAAAACGTCAACTTTTGTATCAGAGGTTTTGCTACTTTTTTGTCCAAATCCGACACACATCTACACCTTTGCACAGCGAATCACCAAACAAGTGCCCTCCACACTCGATGACTCGATGATGCCGGAGTGCAAGGGTTGCCTACCTATCAAATCGTTGGAGCTTCCCATCGCCGTGTCTCTCTGTTGCATTCAGGAGCTCCACGATGAACGAGTCCTCCTCCCCCTCCTCGGAAAAAGTCATCTCGATCTCGCCAACCCACGACAAGATTAGCAACGACTTGCAGCCTCATCCGGACGGTTTGTGGCACCGTTGCCTCTCTTACGCGGCACGGCAACACACCACAGCAGGCACTACACTGGCTCCAGAATGTTCGGCAATTGAGGCAAACGAAACCTTTTACGTGCGGATGCGGCGCAACCACAACGGAATCATACAGGAACTGGATTATAGCAGACAGCAGACAGACAGACAGACGGAGATCGCAAATCGCAAATCGGAGAACGCGAGCACTCAAAGCTCAGAAATTAGGGTTAGCATACTCGCTACTCAGAGTACAGGAGAGTGAGAGACCGGCCGAAGGTGCAGAGTCGCACGCGAGCTACCATGCGTTGCTCGACTACGCCAGCGATGTTGGTAGCTTCATGGTTGGCAAAGAGGGCTGATGCCTTCGTGGTGGCTCCGCCTAGTCATGGAGCTACTTGGCGCGCCTCTCGGCAAAACCAGCAGCAGCAGCAGCAGCAGCAGCAACTCAGCGTCACAGCCGTACGGGGGCGCTCTGTAGGCGGTAGTCTCGCTCGGGTCGTTCCATGGCTGAAGCGAAGGATGTCTACGACGATGAACACCAATGACGGGGCGCGATGGGCACCGATACCCAATGTACCCAACATGAAGGTGAGCATCGTCGAGGACCTCGGCTTAGCTGCTGGCTCTCTGGTTTCCTACGTGGCGTGCTGCTGTGTCTACGGTCCTTCTTTGATGGACTATATGTAGGCTATTGCAGTTGTGAATGTGAGTCTTATCTTGTTGGCTGCGTGATAACTCCGTAAGGACTTGGATGCTCACTTCTCGTCATCCGTCGCAAAGGCGTTGAGCCTATGTACGCGGTCACTACCTCTGATGCATAGATTACTGCTGTACTGCTGTGGTCTAGATAGACTACATGAACCATTGCTAGTTTGCTGGAGAGCGCATCTTGCACAGCTGGTACTCGACAGCGGGTCAGGAAACGTTCTGCTCTAAGCGTGTCGGTAAAAGCCTGCATAGACTGCTGTTGACACCATGCATGAGACAACGCACACAGAGCAATTAAGTCTCAGAGAAATGCATGGTGCACCAACAATGAACCCCTTCCCCGGCTTTCGTTACGCACGTGGTGCTACACAGCAGTGCTTGGTACTTAAAGCACCGAGGTTCATTTTACGATTTTACCTCGTCGCAGCTGCGGCTCCAGCTCACTGTTTTACTTTGATACGGTACGTCCTGTTTACAACATTTGGTGTTCGTCCTTAGGGTGGTGCCGACCCGGAGGAAATGATGAGACAAATGTCTATTCCCGATCTGGCGCAGAAGCTAGACCAGGCCGAGAGCACCTTCGGCCAAGTGCATCCTCAGGTACGCCCACCAGCTGACAGCCAAGAATCCTGCCAGTGAACTTCTGTAGGTTAGAACTCGAAGTGATTTGTTGTCTCGCAGGTCTTGTCGTTCAATGTCGAGTACTACGCTACAGAGTAGCAAAATTAATTGGCGGACAATAATCCCATCTTTTTGATTTCCCGCTTCGTCTTGGCTGTGCACTCGGGAGAAGTTTTCTCAAGAGATTGGTCGCACTCTGTACTCTGCAATACTCCGGGATACCCTCTCAAACACCATCTCCCAGCATTGGCGAAGCCAACGACTCCCAAACAAGACACATCACCTGCTGCCTTCATCACAATTGGTGATACTTCACCGCCACGCACCACTTTGCTAGGGTGTACGAGTCCCTCACATTTGCTCTTTACATGTGGCGCCAATGTTGGGGAAAAATTACAGGTGGCGGCAGCGCTAATTCCCTTGTCTCAGGCGCTCTACGCGAACGGAGATTTGGGCCCTGCTAGGCAATCGTGCACGCGTGCTCTCCAGATTTTGCAGATGGCGTATAAGGAAAGGCCATCGGTCGAGGTAGGCAAGGAGTCAGATATGTTCAATGGGGTCAAGAATATGTTACAATGTACCACAACTTCTCTGTCAAGCCGCGGGGGGCAAGTGAAACGTGTTGTGTTAATCTGCCACCCCGGGGCTACTACTGTCAACCAGAGGTACGGGATATATTAAAATATTACAGTGACCGAAAATCCCCCCTGGGTGTTGTTGCGAAAACCAAGAGACATGAACCGCACACGAGGGCTAGAAAGAATAAGAGTGTTATCTCGCTACAGAGACAGGCATCTTTACCTTTTCGTTGGCCAACATGTTCGCGCGGTCGATACTATATCAAGACACACTTCCTGTTGCTGCCGCGACTTCGGAACTAAAGTGTACCGTATGCACCATGTACGAGAGAGTAGAGTATTCAAGAGCAAGAGGTAGAATGGAAGTAGATGGGGTAGCTTGGTGAAAGTACCGGCAAGGATTGATAATTACCGGAGCGAAGACAGTCGATTTGTTTTTGTTTGCCCCTGAGGAAGGTCGGCGAAAAACTATCGCCCGGGCCCTAGACACTCAACACCGTTGCGCCATGTTATACATAGTTTGGCCAGGACACAAGTTGCCCTCAACGGACGCACCGTTTAATGGTAAGGCATCAAACATCGCCCCCGGAGGGGGAGCGCGCATTAGGCGTCATATTGCTTGCTGCCAAACGCTCTCTTGAACCTCGCGCACCTGACCTCCGTCGGATATGGGTTCTGCCCCCGCCTTTCGAATGCCCTTGTGTGTGTGGCTGCAAGTGCTCCAGTTTACTCTGAAGCGATGGCGGAAGCACTGTTTCGCACCTGCTTCCAAACTATAGCCTCTCTCCGCCTTCATCCCAACCGCCAAGTCCGCTGTTGAAAACTTTTTTCTGCGTAGCACGCGCATTCGCCAGCAACATACACCAAGTGGCCTGCGCGTAATACACGTCTTTATTTGATGCCCACGTCCGCCCGGTTGTAGATGGCAGAGGCGCTCCACACGCTGGCAATGATACAGCAGGCGGAGAGCCCGGAAGTGGGAGACAAGGCTTTGGGATCGCAGAACATGGCGTTAGAGGTAAGGAATGTGGCGTTAGAGGTAAGGAATATGGCGTCCACATCCTTAACACTCCTGTACAACCGGATATGAATTTTCTCTCTCAAGTCTGGCAGGATCGTCGAGTATTTGCCCCGAAAGACTATGCGTGACACTCGTCGCCCACGGGTGCCATCCGGGTGGTACACTCTAGGGGAGTGGTACACTGTCCTCGGTAGTGCGCACTATTTTCATGTACGACTGCACGCGGGATATGTATGTGGACGGGTAGAGTGCACCGGCCGCAATGGCAAGACCAAATTTTCTCGGTGGCAAAAGTTGCGAGTGGATAAACCACTCTCCGCCGTCGCACATCCGTGTGCATCCATCTGTTATATCGCTTCTGATCCTATTGCATCGTTTCCCTTCGTTTTCCGGCACCCTGTTGCCCTCCGGCACTCGTTACCCTGCTGTACACAGCTTGCGATGCGTGTGTTCGGTCCAGATTCGGTAGAGGTTGCAGCATACGCCCGCTGCTTGGCTCAGATGTCCGAGGACTATTCCCAGTTCCTATCCCCTGGTCTTCCGCGGCCGTTCTACATGCCCAACCCGATACCGCTGTACCGCCAGACGCTCTCCATAATCGAGAAAGTCATCGGACCCAAAGACCCTTCGGTGAGCCATGCTTTCAACCAAGAATTGCACCGAGCTTGGACTAAACACCGAGAAGCTATCCAGCTTTCAATTCTTGGTGCTTTTGACCCTCCTGGCGCCTGGTTGTCAGCTCACTCCTTTCCGCAATTACTGCTGCGCCCCCTCCATGTGACACACCCGCGTGCTCTGTCTACAGGTGGCGTCCGCTTTAGATGATTTGGCCAGCGCCCTTCTTTTCCATCGCGACGATGACTACACGGAAATGAAAGCAGTGACTCTTCTCCCGGAGGCAGAAACCCTCGCCGCTCGCTCTCTCGCTATTTCGAGGGCGTCCCTTGGCGAGGAACACCCGATAACGGCGGGAAGAGAACATAACCTGGGCATGATCAAGAGAGGACTACAGAAGCCTAAAGAATCATTGTGAGCACACAGCAACTTTTATCACATTGAGCTTGGGATCTTTTTTACTGTAGGCCCGCTCCGGGGCTGATGATACCTCCTGCATTGCGGCCCACCGTATGAGTGCATTTTCTGTGCTGTCGCTCACTTTCGCACCCCTCACTTATCCGTTTGTTTTCTTTCTTTCGGCAGGGATTGCTTCCGACGCGCGCTCGCGATTCGGGAAAAGGTTTTGGGGGTAGATCACCCAGACTCGAAATCCTCGCGGGAGCTTGTGGAAGAAGAGGAGAGCGGTACGGCGCCACCACCCTGAGTTTTGAACGTGTGTGCGTGGCCCAGCCGCATTCTCCATAGAGAGCGCGTCTTACTTGACAGCTTGCGCGTTCCTCTCTCTCTCTGTACGAGGCTCGTTGCTCGCAGCGGATAGATTTTTGTCTGCTTCGTATCGTTTTGCTTTTGCTGTGGCAGCAACTTGAAATAGAAATACGAATCGAGCGCGTGTCTCTTCGCACACGGCACCCGACAACACGTCCAAGTGGGCGATCCGTGATACCGTACTGTTACAATGCGTGACCGAGGGGCGTGCATGTCGGAGGATATGATCTGACGCCTTCCTGGGGTCCCGCAGTAGGAGGGGGGAATTCGGTGAAATACGTTGTCATTGCTGCCAACCGCAAATTTTACGGATACACTCTACTCCGAGCTCACTCGTATTTGTAGAGGAAGGAAGGCAAAGTCTTCTTGCGAGGTTGGAAACGACATTTCGAGGATCACCCGACCCCTCGCCAACGTCAAGTGATGTGTAGAGATGCACGTCTCATCAGGCACACGACTTCTAGCGACACATGTTTTATTGTCAAAACCGCATCGGTGTTCACCATCTTACAGGTCGTTTCTATCCCATGAGTGTAGGGCGGTAGGGAGTTGAAGGCAATCACAACGCGGGCCTCTGAATACATGTCTGTCGATACGCGCCCACCAAACAACGTTTCAAGGTGGCAACAAAGCAGCAGGTGAAACCCCATTGGCCGAGCCCCCTCTCCTCGTGTTTTCGTCCCACGGCCCCTGCGTCTCCCTACTTCGTTATATGCAACACCCTAGCCAGTTCAGGAATCTACAAAACCATTTGGCGCCATCTACGTACAGCGCAACGGTTGGTGTTTTTCCCTCAGACGCTGATTTGGAACCCACGCCAACCAGTAGAAACAGTTTTGTCTGACTATTGGTGGTGACGTCCTCTTTGTATATTTCCGCCGCGACGTCGAACGATATATCCTCGGCCGACCTGCTGAATTCTTGTTGACATTTGGTGCCTGTAGCGTGTTTTCCATCCACGCATTCGCCCCTGAGATCATGGACATAGGAATGATGCAGAATTTCCGAGGCGTCGAAACCGCTGGTGAGGATGGCAAACGACAAACAAACGACAGTCTACACATCGGGTGGCACTACAGTTTCTTCGTACCCTGTGTCGTTCTCCCGGAACAGCCTACCTGGGATTGCTTCAAGACTCGCCGACTGAACGAAGGGCTACTCTATGTTCCCACCTGGAGGTTGATGTACAGTCGCAGTCTTTCCCCTCGGCTCTTACTAGTGGTTTTCGTACAGATCGCCTACGCGCCGCAGGAAGGGAGAACGGGGTGGGGGAGTGACTGCGGTGCGTTGGGGCGGGATAAGTCGAACAGTCCAACACCGTTCGTTGACACATTTAGCATAACACGGATTAATGACGGCTACCGTGCTAATGGATTGCCAACTCTTACAGCTACTCGCACGGTGTGACAGAGACTGGTTTACATGAATAAGATTACCTGCCAGTTGTCCTGCGCTTGTTCCTTGAGATGACGCTCGTCACCTTCCTCCAGTATCTCCACTGCCCGATGCTGCCACCAGGGAAGAAGAAATCCACACGGGTACACCGGATCGTTTGGAGATGAGAGGTGAAACATCAACAATGAAGAAAAGAAAGCAGGGTCGTCTCCGCGGTTGGGGCCGCTACTGCTCTACAGGTCCTTCGCATTCGGGTTGTCGATTCATCAGCTTGACTTCATTGACTAAACGCATGGTTTCACCTCGTCAGTTGTGAAGTGAAAAACACTCCGGAGAACATGCTCCGCCAGCGCGGACGTCTGCACAAACGAAAACTTTTTCTTGTTCTCCTTGTCTGAGACTGTGGTCAGCTTGAAAAGCCGGTGCATCGTCGGCGTGCTCATGGCATATCCTGATAGCTGCCACAACATGTCGCTGAACCTAACAAAAGGGAATGGTGGAGGGCGGACGGCGTCGTGTGTCAGAATCGCAGGCAAAAGGGAAGGCCTACCACGTTCTGGACTGCGGTTCCACTCTGTTCAAGTGGCTACAGATCTCTCCTATCATAGAATCTTGGATGAATCCGCGACCAATCCCCCCCTCCCCGTGGTCGCACTCTTGCAGCCACAACCATATGGATGGACGATTTCAAGCAGCATCGACCGCGTGGCTAGTACTCCCGTTTGTCACCAGACGTCGACGCGAATGCTAGAGGGATCATTCGTACGCCTTCACACAAACGATCAACCAAGGCACTCAGCGACATGGGTGTGAGTCACCGACGACCGGGGGCAGTACGCGAGTTCTATCCCTGTAGGTCTATTGAGGCCACGGTTGGCGACATGCATGGACGACTAACCTTTTAAAACTCAAACGCTGCTCTCCATTTTCAATCACACGGTGTGCCTCGATGGTCTTAGCCAGCAGCCTTCTGTTCTCGTGTCGCTGCTCGAACCATGCGTTCATGATCGTTTCCATTGCAATGTCGATGTCGAGTACCTGGTAGCGACGCGTGATGGCAGCCATGAACCAGAAAAACGTTGTTCTGAAGGAATGCTCCGAGGTGGCGAACAGAGCCGGCAGCCATTTTCAACTAGACAAGCGTCTAGAACCATGCATGAAATTGACAGCTATACGATCGTTCACGATGAAAACAAATCACGTACGTGTATTCTTTTTTTTCTAAGTTTTCAAGTGCGTTGATCGGAACCGAGTTTGAACCAACCAGGCGTTCTTTGATATAGCACCAAAATTGAGCCAGTAAATGTCCCCGTCGCTGGCATGTCTTGCTCTCTTGGCTCACCTGCAAAATAGAGTCCGTCTTATATGCTTCATCGTAGCTGTGAGCACCCAGGTAGGTTTCTCCGGCGGGTCTTGCAAGTGCCGCTATGGACCGCGTGAGCTCTACCTTTCGTGTTTCGCTTAAAGCCCACATCCCGTTCGGTTTCTCAATAGAGCACGAGAGAGAATGGCTACGATCCTGGAAATGCTCGCCCTGGCAGCACGAAAGCGTAGCACGTGGGGTGCTCGGCAGGGTTATAAAGTAGAAGTTGTACGAGCAAAGCGTCTTCGCACTGGTGTGTTTTGATCATGGTGTGCAAGTTAAGTTGAGGCCGGCGGTTCACCGGCAAAAAACAATTAAGGAATAATAAAAAAACAATGATCGGCAGGTTCCTGAAAGACTGAGCTGCGGGGGAAATTGTCACGTACAAGGGAGCAATATTTCACCTCTCGCCAGTTTCATGTAGTGCCTCCACCATCCCATTTTCTACGGCCTGCCTCTACCCCGCGCACCTCTTCCATGATCGGGAGTAGTTCCTCGACCACGGGGGCGACCGCCTCTAGCGGAACATAGGCGAGCCCATCTCCTCTGACCATCCGGGCGTTGAGTTGGTGCGCTCGATCGTTGAAAATACGCATCATGACCATAAGATACAGGTCCAATGCCTGCGGACACAGAGGGAAAGGCATGAGGCACGAAGGGAGCAACGTTTTCTTTGTCTCTCCACCGGATTCCGTCGTGGACCCTGTGCTCAAGGACAAGTGCGCAAATCTAGCCCTCATCTCCTTCCACTCTCTGCCACGAAATGACTTTCACGACCTTCCTTGCCTGGGGGATGTAAGATTGCTCATGCAGCCATCCCACCAAAGTACCGAACAAACTGATTCGACGATTTCCGGAAGTCCCGTACTTCCTAACGGCTGCCTTCATTGTCGCCAACTTTATCTCGGACTTGAACGGGTCCCCTCCGCAGCTTTCGAACATGAACGCCTGAGTTGTGGAGCCGCATCGAACAGCATGAGCGGGGGATGTTCATGTGTTGTGAATTGTAGCCTACCCAGAATCAATTTCTCAGCGTTGGTTCCGCCACTGGGTTTGATTTTGAACGTACGTCGATAGCCTCCCGTGGTTCCGGTCGCCTCTCTCGTCTAAGGTCGTCGCTGGCGTCAGAAACCACCTGCCAACAGTTGCGAACGCAAACAGAATGCACCGATTTTTCGAGCAATAGTCTAGGTCGAAACGCGGCTGACCCTAGTTCAGCGCGATCTCCAATGAAGTAACACTAGCGATAGCACCCTAACCAAAGCCCATAAAAAAGTAGGATATGCTATAGCAGTCGGGCGTTTTAGAACCTATTCCATGAACCAAAAGTCGACACGTCGTAAGGGTTGCTCTGATGAATTCCTTCGATTTTTCTTCATTTCTAGCTCGCGTACCTTTCTCGTGTAAAAATCTGGGATCACTATTGCCTGCAGCGCATATCGACTGAGCTTTGACAGGTGGTGCAAGCCCTCGACCCTGGTCCGTTGAAAAGCGACATCCACGAAACATGGCATCCAGGCATATTCGTCAAGGGCGGCAATGCGAGACATGCCCAGGGCACCCCTTGGTCAGGGTTGACAGCACTCGAAAGTGGGGTATGGTCGAAAGTGCGGCATAGTCGACGAAGGTCATTGTACCGTTTCAAGAAGTATCATGTTGTCGAGCGACCCGCGGAAAAAGCTTTGGCTATCGTAGGTGTCACAAAATCACTCTCTCTTGTCTCGGTGCAGTTGTTATGATATTGGCATCAAGTTGAGGCCGTTTATGTTTCCGCGCGCCTTGGGACGGAATATAGTGGCAGTCAACCCGTTCTATGTTCTCACCTGTTTGTGGGTGATCGTGTCCAAACCTCTGAGGCCCCTTCAGCCTGCCAGATGACCAGGCATGTTCGGACGTCGGTGCGGCAAAGCGAGGGGCAATTTTAGCGTGTGGAACCAAACAAGAAAGGCACCGCCGTCTTCAATCGTCTGAAGATACAGCTCGTGCCTCCATGAAATCTGACACGTACATCCTAGAACCCCAATGCCTTTAGTTTTGGCGAATATGCGCTGGATGGAGGCAAGCTCAGCCGCCTTTGCCTGGCAAAATGTCCACGTATCCCATGATACCAACAAAAAAACAGCCTTGCTCAGCCACCCGTTGCTCTCTCGATACCTTCCTCAGACCTCCGTGGTCCTCGTTGGGCAGCTTGTTGTTGCTGTGGTACGCGCAGTACGGAGCAGAAAAGAGTGTTGTTAGATGGGTCTGCACATATGGTCTGAGGTAAGACAAGTACACGTATGATCAACGTGCTAGATTTCCGGGTGGCTAAGTAGCTGCCAAGACGATGACAATCATATTCAGGAATTCCAAAACATAGTTCGTCTTGCACGGACCACAATGCTGAACACATCGAAATAGCTAGAAGTGGTCACGGCCCACTCAGACCCACCTTGGTGAACACAACGAATGGCTGCGATTCTACTTCCTCCGGGACATTCGCCGCTCACCTGGTCTTTGGCGTCAGTGCTTCCTCCTTGCTTCCTGACGACGCTGTGTGTGAATCTCCACCAGGCACTCGTCCGCCGGACGGATTGTCAAAGGATACCGGATCAGTCTGTGTACCCGTCGTAGAGTGTCCAACGCCCATATCCTTTTTGAGCGGATGAACCAAGTCAACAGAAGATACGTACTTATTGCTTAGACTTGATGGCACCTTTCTTTATGGACAAGGCAAGGGCAAAGATTCGCTGCGAGATACGAATCGTGCATTCCATCAATGGCCACTCAGCAGCGAATCATTCAACCCCCCCAAGTACTGCGCGTGGTATCATTACCTCATCTTCGATGGATAAGTCATCGCCTATATCCAACCGGATCCGATTCTCTGCTACTTTAGCGGCTAGCGCCATTTTGGTCACCGATGCCATCAGCACTCTGTTCTCTCGTGAGCCATTCCGGTGATCTTGCACCTGAGATGGAGACACAAGATAGAGTTTTGGTGGTGAATGAACTTATTCGTGGTACGACTGTTTCGGCGATGAAGCTAAGGATGACTGCTTGAGACGTTCCACCCGCAGGCGTTCACGAACGTAAAGTTGCACCGCCAAGAACGGCGCGCGTTGTCCATCAAGCACAATAGGGGGTTCTTTACATACAACCTTCGAACCGGCCGTCATGTGGCTACCTCGGTCATCAAAGTCTTGACTTGCTCCAGCAAAGACGCGACGATCAATTCACACGTCGAAGCAGGTCGGGCATTTTGCGGCGTCTCTTCGGCTGGTTCCGACGTAGGCTGTGCAGCATCCCTTGTTGTTTGCTCCTTCTCGGAGGCGTGGAGCATCAACTCTCGTTCCCTCAAGCCTAGCTGGTACTTGGCTTCCTGGTTCATTCTTCTCGTAAGGCGCGTCCGTAATCCGCTGAACCATACTCGCAGCCGGGTCTGAAACATGTCGAATGCGTAAATATTTTCGGTGCAGCGCAGTCATCTTCGGCCATGTTGTGAGAAGGGAAAGCCCTACACGTGTGCCCGGCATCACATAATTAACCATCGAAAGGCTGTCCCGGACATGCGTCTCAGGGTGGCATAGGCAGGTACCAGAGGGTTTAGTCCCGATACATCGCTGTTTGTTGGCTGCTCATTTTCTTTCGTCAACGCCACAGTGTAAGGAAGGGTGTTCTGGCACCAAGGGGTACGAAACAAACGACTTCGATTTTCAAGTAGTAGCCGCCTCGACAACACCTATAGGTACTGTTACGGTTCTGAGAATAGTGCTGGAAACTTCTACACATTAAAAGCCTGGACGCACTCACTCGCTGGAAACGTCTTCGTAACGCGCTGGTATCCTCCATTACCGCCTTCCAGCTCCTAAATATGAATCTGACATCGCAGGGGAGGCTCGTATTAAGGAGGAATCGTAAAATCATTAATAATACTATCGAGTAATACTCGAGCGATCATGATTGTGGTGGTGGGATCCCACAAGAAGTGTGCGTATCATCAACTGCCAACCGAACGCAGTGCAGAGAACAGAGAACACAGACCATCTCGTAGATCTTGCCTTCTCTGGATTCGGTGTTTGTTGGGAGTGGCAACGCCTTGGCTTACCTCGTGATTAGCAAGGAGTCCTTGCCAAGCAATGATCTCATGGAGTTTCTTGCGCTGGTAAGATTGTTGAGTAAAGTTCCTTCGTGCTTCTCTTTCAGAACCAGCGATTCTTGTAGCGAAGCAATCTGTTGAATGACGAGAGGGTTTCCGAAGCTGTTTCAGGAGGTATGTATAGGACACTCTTATGTATTTCAACGAGTCATGGCAAGGTGAACCCTTTCCGACTTGTGTGGTGCCGTTCTCACAAAACTAGTGCCGTGCGTGTGTGCGTGTGGCTCCCACATATTCGAGTCGGCTACAGAACCAAGAAGGTTCACCTGCGATTGAAGCTCTCGGCACCGCACAAAATGGGGTTTGCTTTTGAGGAGCATCACCTCCGCGGGTGCTCTTGCGGATTGAAGCGAAGGGTCTGGATGGAGCCAAGCCAAGAATTGGTCGATCACCAAGTCTGGATCCTGAAAAAAATCCGGTGCTCACGTGTTGAGTTGTCGTCAGCAATGAGGCAATTCTGCATTGTACATAAACGGAATGCCATATTCAAAACCAGAGAGGGGGGCTCCCTCATGGCACACCTAAGAGCTTGTCCAGATGCTTGGCAAGAACCTGAACTCAGTTTGGGAAACATCTAGCGCTGTGTGTGCATCATATTCCTAAATTCGCAGGGCGTCAACTGCGCCGTGACCCCCCAGGAAAGACACACAAAGAATAAATATTGTGCATTGCTACCACCCGCTCCATCTTTGCCGAACCTAGCCACTTCGGGTAGTACCTCGTATATTGAGCGAAGAAGTTCCTTCATGACGAGCGTAACCAGCGAGCCGTATCGTTCAAACACAGGGAGCAAGGTTCCAAGCGCTTCACACGCTGCCATTGTCCTAAATTCGTCGGGCATCGGTGCGTGTTCCGTCATCACGCATGCCTACAGCAAATCGGTCAGCGAGAGGTGTGCAACAAGTTAGTCCAGACTCAGGTCAACGGGAATAGCGTCACATCGTGCAAGGGAGGAGATACTCCCTTGACTTTAATCAGAAAAGTGTCAGAGTGAAGTCACCTGCGTTAGAAATAGACGAGGGTTCCTATGCCTCTGCCTCCAACAAATGGTGCAACCTCACGAACCTTTCGCAGTCGTTGCTCGCACATAACCGAGATAGATTGGAACCGAGCTCGATCCGCATCGAAGCTTGCCGTCCACCTGGAGTAGTTTAGGAAAACAAGAGGGCCGTGAACGCACAAAGATATGGCCACCTTTTTTCTCGCGCCTGGCCACTACATAGTGCCTCCGTACACGACAAGGTATCATTGGTTTGAACTGTTGCGGTACAAGAGATTGCTTTGGCTTTCGCCCTCGAATGCTCACGATAGGTCGGGTTGGCGGTCTTTTCCATGGGAAGGAAGCCATAGGTTGGGAACATGCGGTTGGGAACGTACGCCCCGCGTCAGTTCCATTGATGCGTGCTACCCTTACGGCTACCATAACTCGTTATCACTGACAGTTAACAGTTATACTTCACAACGAAAACGACTTGACCTACTCGTTGAAACACGCAGGTTATCTCGGGAACATCTTTCAAGCATTGGTCTTTGAAGTCCCTGATTGCGTGTAGACAATGCGGATTCGAGTAAATACCGATGGTACAGCACCTGTTCATCACGCAGTCCGAGCTCATGTCGCGCTCAGACCATGGCGAGGCTGCCTTAAGTCTTCCAGGGAAAGATGGGGACACCCCGTGCGATGTCGGGAGGCGATTGGCTGGCCGCCAGTCGTGCTTCCTCTTCCGCCTGCTTGAAGAACAACTTCATCTTAACGAACGTCATTTGTGCTGTCTGGTTCTCGCCGCTACTGCCACCACTCGCTATACCTCTAGGTGTCTCACCTTAGGCTGGATTTGGAGTTGATGCTCCCATGAGTATTGTCGATGCCGGTGAAGTTGTACGTTTGGACTGAAGAGGAATCGCTTGCCGTGAACGACATGGCGTACCTTTGCCCAGGGTATGACACATTGTGCGCAGGACTGCTCTGAGCGGTGTCGGTCACCTATCGTTAGCGCGAAACGGGCCCGCTGAGATACAAAGTGCTATGTAGTGGCACGAAAACACCATGTTCTCTACCGGACGCTAGCCTGTCGAGGTTTGCAAAACTTGGTCACGAACCTATACAGTAGTGCTGCCATTGGATTTCGTGTGTTTATTAGCCCACGTAACGTGCTGTGATGTCGGGCATCGTGTCTATCCGGCATCATTGCGCGCAATCGGATCCCAGCATTCTTCGCGCGTGTCAGTTAGTCTCATCAACGAAAATCCAGGCCTGCTCCCACAGCAGCAGCTTCTCGAATCCCTCGTGTCCAGACTGAGTACTACCTGCATCAGTTTTGCGTCGTCTCCCAACGAGTTGCCCGTACCAACCCTGGTACACGACAGCCGTAAGCTTGTCGTTCACTTTTTATCGAAACTCTTACATTGCCACACCTGGGAACCTGAAGCGTCTAACGAATTTATTTTGGCGTCGGCCACACCATTTACGTGTCGGGAGTCATCAAGCTCAGGTAACACCTGGAACCAACGGAACACCGAACGAACATACGGCTTTTGTGATGATGAGATCGGAATTTTCTTCTTCGAAGTCACAACACTCGATTGAAGGGCTACTCTACTGGGCGGACAAGAAAGTTTAACCTGCATCGTTTGCTTATGTGGCTGTATAGTCGTTCCGCAAGACAAAGCACGTCGCTGAAACTCCGGTGTCTGTCTAGACTATGCTATGCTGTTTACCGCGTCCAAACATTCGTGTCCCATGAACGCCTGAAATACCAACCATGTATTGCAACCTCACAGGAGCGCCCATGCGGAAAGAGTTAAGAATGTGGTCACGCTCTTACCGCCCCCCCACCTTGCTGCCGTGGCGAACATAGGATGGAGAAACGTGAGCGTCTACCGACGTCAGGACCCGCCTGCGCAAGATCGCCGCACGCACGTACAGTGTACGGTTCTTCTCAGCTCTGCTGTGAATGGTGCCGAATACCATAATCCCATGTGTGTTGAACGTCAGCGCCTCGCCAAAGTATGGCATTCAATGCTCTAGCGGAAAGATAGTCAGCGTCGAGTGTTCGTCGGTGTCATCTCGGACAAAACATAGGAAGAAAGGAGATTGTTGTCTTCTTGTGGAGCAGAATACAGTGCTCTTGACATTGGGCAACGGGGTTGTTCCGTCTAGAGTGATTCGCCCATGCAGTGTGCGGTCTCAACCGTGAGTACTGTTGCACAGGTCGCGTACGAGAGATTAAGTGACGTACCCTATTTCGAGGTGGCCTCCGACAGATCCGGGTCTTGATTGACTTACTCCATCAGGTACGGTTTTGCGTGCACCTAGAATATCGCGGGGTAGCTGGAGCGGGTATTCTCCCCACGACACATTCATGAGGGTATGATACCCGCAACACCTTGTCTTTGCTACTAAAGTCTCGCAATCATATTGTAACATGTACACTCTGCCCGCCGGCGCGATGGCTTACAGTCCCGTTTTGAAACCGCTGCTTCGAGACGAACCGGTACAAAAAACGCGGCGAGACCTATCTAGTCTACATGCTGCCGTCTCTCTCGCCTGCTCTCTGTACTCTGCATCACTGGAGCCCTCGAACGCTAGTGGAGTGTACTACCGTAGTTACCAACTTTGCGGTGGTTGTGATTGTGTCCCTGGTCGGTGGTCATCGCCTTCGTCGCAAGAGGCCCTCGGTTGGAGTCTTTCCGATCGGTCGAGTTGGGCAATAAAGGATGGCGCCTCCGAGCTCCACGAAAATTACCGAGGACTTCCTGAAAAAGGTGCGAAACATAGAGAGACTATAATACTGTATCTTGCTTGCAATTTGTGTGTAGGTTCCAGTACACATATGCACCTTCCTACTGCACAGCAGTAGTACTGGAAGCCCAAATGGGAACACTTTGGGGACACAGCACTCGAAAGTCTATTTATTACCGCACTCACCCTAGGCTCCGCTGTGTGCAACGCACTTGAGAACCCTTGGTCTATTATGCTTGGCTGAGGTGGTATGCTGTGTGATATGGTGGTATGATGCCTCTCCTCTGACTCGATGTACATATGCATATCTCCCGACCTGCGTGCCCCCGAGGTCGTAAAGCTAAACCACATCGCCTGGTGTAAGTACTGGAAGAATTTGCTGACTTCGTATGAAAAATCCCCACGTGTATTGGGGACACTTTTCATACTGAAGCCGAGTCACCCTTTGTCTGGCAGGGAGCTCAGATTCTTTGGAGGGACTGTATCCCCTCGACCAACGGCTGACAAACATTTTTGCGGCATTTTTTTTGGCGGAGGGACTGGGTACCAGGAGACTACAGGGTTTTAAGCCTACTCTAGACCACGTGGATGGATGGACTGCTGTAGTATATACTGGTACTTCGTACGTAGTACATGCCTCTAAATGCTAATGCTTGCGATAGGACGATGCAAAGACATTTACTCCGTATACAGTAGAACAATAGTCTCTACGTAGAACTATTTGAGCGAGGTGGACTACAGTAAACAAGCAGTCTCTAATATTTATGCCTGCATGCAACATAATGTTTGGACTCCACGTAAATACATGTGGTACGAGACATCGAGATACTTTGAGACTTCGTATGCATATTGTAGTACATCGGTGCCGGCCCACTCATCAGAAACGTCGATATTGAGCCGAAGGATCAAAGCCTTCCCGTGTGGCAACGATTGAGAACGGGCTACATTTTCTATGCTATATGTACCGTATTGGATTTTTGTGTAGTGCCGGCGGCTGTATCTTCGCCGTTTTGCTACTTCTTCACAAAATAACACATGGCTGGGTGTCTGTCGTCGTTTGTTTTTAGTGAGTGGGCCAGCATTTTATCTGGTGGGTCGAGAACGGCAGAATGGTAGTTGCCGACCACGAACAATCATTCCTGTGTTCGTGTTTTGTTGATTATCGTCGAGCTAACTAAGTGAATACACCTGCCTCGTATCGCGTATATGTGAAGGTGCCCCAGCTGTTGGAAGCAGCTGGGTCCTAGGGTAAAGAAAGAGGTACGGTCGCTTTATGCCTTGTCTCCACGATTGTGTAGAAATGAGATGTTGCTTGAATTGAGAGCGAGGAAGGCCTGGTTGAGGTGGGGATCCACCTCGCAACCAGGGGGCACGCAGATTGCTGAGTCCTGATGTGGTATGGTCCCTCAGAGGTATACCTCTCGGCCATCCCACATCCTATTCTAGACCAAGATGTACCCTATCTATGCCCTCCAGCAACACTCCTTAACATACATCAATTTTATTTTGCACGGCAAGAACGGATTCTGCAAAGGTTTGAAGTGCGACTGGAACATAATACGGCGTATAATACAAACTGAAGGATCCCTTCCAACCTCGACATTTTACGTAAGCTCAAGCAATAGGCTAGCCTGTTCCCGTATACATGTAGCCGGCTCTCTCGTAATCGGGTTCGTGCATACATTGCATGCGCGTGCAGAAAACGGGAGCGTACGACCTGGAGGTGATGCAATGGCTGGAACTACCAAACATGGGTGCGTACACTACTTTGCCAAGTACGAAAATAGCCTCGAACGCGAAACACCCTTTTGAAGTGATGCATCATGCGACCAGTGTACGTGCACATCATGTTTGTTTGTTCCGATCTGGCCACATGGTGAGACAAAGCAGGTTCTTGCCGGCTGGGTGAAGATACTATAGTAGTGTGGAGGTAACCAAAATGGTACACGAGAAGTATATTCAACAGCAGGATTCATAAATTGGTACAATCAACATTCATACCTACAGTACCTCGTCAATACCGTGCGTGGTATCTCGCAGGAATAAGACGCATCGAGAACATCAGCAGCTGCACCAACATTCGGACGCTCACCCTCTGCGGCAATCAGGTAGTGCGTACCCTTTTCCGAGGACAACATTGTACAAACAATTTAGATGTTGGTATGATGTGGCTCATTGTCAGTGGTGCGTCGACAAGGTCTTCACCTCAAATATAGTGTGAGCATACATACATTGTCTCCACTATCGGGCCTTAAAACTAACCTACGTTTTGTAACGCCAACCGTTTCGGAAACCTTGATTAGATTCGAGAAATTGCCGGTCTGGACGGATTGGTATCTCTGGAGCGTTTGGACCTCTCCTCGAACAAGATTCGACAGATAGGTGATGGAGGTTTTTGTCGTCAACGGGTCTACGGGGATACTTGCCGGATCTTGGAAGCTGTTTTGTCTTAAACGGTCGAAGACCGATATACGCCACCAACCGGACTTTCACAAACCTTGTCAACGCATATATTGTTCAAGTATAATTTAGTAGACTCTCTTCCCTTTGTTTCTCGCATTTTTCCTTACCCGCCGACACTTGTCACCAACATAATCACACCAACAACGCCGACGCTATCATGGACAAGTTGTTCTCTCGATGGTTGGCTTGTGCTTGGGTCGCTTGAATGACAACAGTTGCGATATTTTCAGAGCCAAGCACCGTACTTCATGTTCGCGCGTGGCTGCTTTTTCCAGGAAACCTGGAATCCCTCACAAGCTTACAGTCGTTGGATCTCAAGGTCAGTCGTCTGTGCAATCGCATGCATTTGCCTCAGGTTCATACCCACTTGTGTCCATGGGTCAGCCGTTGTGTTGCACGGGGCCTGTTCGTGTACGTACCTCGTACGAGGATGCTGTACTCGGTCCCCTCGGAGAGATACTCGCCTAGTAGTTGAATATCTTTCGTGTCACTCTCGTCAACCACGGGTATCGAGCACCTGGACCCGTCTGTCGTTCGACGCCCGTGTGATCACCCACGACCACTAGGACAACCAAATATCGAGCGTGGATGATGTCGGGAATGTCAGTAAGGTGAGATACATCAATCAAAAGAAATACCTGTTCAGGCCAGATCCTGTCACTTTGCATCATACATCGGGCTGTCCAATGGCATGGTTGTGATTTGATGTTGTTGTTGTTCTCATCTTTGTGCTGTGCACGCTTTCATGAGGTCGTCCGTGAGGTCGTCCGTTAAGAACGTCGTGCTTCTTACCTTGAATCCTATGTGTATTGTAATATTCTCCTAAAGCAGTAGGAATACACATTTCTTGGCACACAGACCTTTTGTTCTTCTTTCGATTGCCTTCATGATTATTGTTCCACACCAGAGGGAAGAGAGAGACGACAACTTGGCAGAGCACGTTCCCCCTGCAGACACGTGTCTTCGCCTTCTTTCCTCCTGAAACTGCTTCTCCCTTCCTTTCCTCCGAGCGGCAACCACTAGTTTCTTGGTGTAGGAACTAATCTGCACGCAGTAGCCTCAGGTGACCAAGTCCCCCAAATGGTATCCTACCATTTTCTTCACTACCACGATTAATTGGTCCTTTCCCCCCCCCCCACCTTCGAAAGCAAAGAGGTGGGTGGACAGTAAAGACTACAACTTATTTGCAGCTCCAGCTGGCAAACCATGCAAAGCCTCCTTTGTGTCCACTGGCTCCTTGTCTCTGCGTTGCTCTCTCTAGTCCTCGTAAGAGTCTCTGTGTGTGAACACCTACATGTAGCTTCGGCAGAGTGTTCGAGGTGCAGCTTCTCCCGTTCTGCCGCTCTCGCTCGGGGGGGCCGTACTGCCGTGACCATTCTAACAATACCGTAACAATGACGTAACAGTTCGATTGCTTTGAAAACTTGACTTGTTTTCGCCTGGTTTTACAACAAATCTCCCCTTTTTTTTCCGAAAAGTGTGGCTAACTCACTCTCCTCCGCGACATGCTGCACATGATGACCTGCGCGAATACTCGTGACACCAGCTCCCACACCTGAGGCGTTTCTTCCTTCAGGACTACAAAGGCCTTAAAAGCAACCCAGGTGCGTCCGGCAATAATTCCCTAGCAGGGGGCTTCCGCACAAAACTAGGTTTCCTCCCACATGGCCAAACCTGAGACAAAATGTTCCACCAGTTGCTAACCCAGAATTCTTTGCCCTCGCAGCGTGCCAGCATCCTTCCTACCATAGCGTGGTTACCCGTTTTCTGCCTCAACTGGACGTTCTGGACGGTGAAAGTCTCAACCTAAGAAAGGTCAGTGTAGGTTGCTGGCGATGGCAACGGAATACGCGGCTCTACAGACAGACCAACAATCGTCTGACGGAAAATGATCCGTCATACAGAGAAACTATGTGTTATGCATTTTGCGACCCGTAGCCTTGTAGCAGTGCGTTCTGCGTGGGCGTCAGGTGGGACCGGTGGTTGTCTCGCTGTGCACTACAGTAGTATCGTTGAGACTAAATTTGCGGCTTTTCGTAGGCATGGTTGCGTTGTATTTGACGGCAAACGCCAGCTGAGGGGTGCTTACACGAACGACTTTGTCTGCGGTAACCTCTGACGCGATTGCTCTCCGTGCGTTTGGCAGTGCATGGTGGACGTGATCCTTGGCAATGCAAAGCCAAACGATGAAGCTCTAAAATCTCCTGAGCGTCGACGGTGGTGCGAAGGTAAGCGATTATTAGTTCTCAGAGCTTGAATCGACCTTGGCGTCTACCAGACTCGACAGGAACGCCCCTGGGTTGGGTCAAGTACTCGTGTATTACTGTAGTTTATGAACACCTGGGACTATATGACCTACACTGGCTTACCCCTTCCACAAGTGGCGAGCACAATACAGTTCGTGTTGAAAACGAAATGGGACTACCTCGCTTCAATTTTCTTGTCAGCCTGGGCAGCCAGTTTTGTCTCAAATCACAATAAGCGACACATCGGCTGCGGTGTGTCTACTCAACTTCATTCGGGATAGCCCACATCACCTATAACAAGGCGGGTGGCCGGCGGTTCTGTGCTTTTGTGTACCAATACGTTTGTTGTGGCGCAGGATTTGACTGGACACCCGACTTCGTGGACTCTGATGTCGAGGAGGATATTCGCAGTGGAACGGAAGCACTTCATGGTGAGTACATCCAACCACATATCGAAGCGTTATTCCAGCAGTTTAGGTTCAACTCTGTCGAACCCTACGACGCTCCTATCGTCACGCCGTTGGTTGGGGAAGTTTCTCAGTATGTCGTCCAGTGTTAAATGAACCAATGCATCGTCGACTGACCTAGCAGCTTCACGAAACCGCAGTCGCCTCACGGCATTCGACACGAGTTTTGGCTCGCGTTTGTCAATTGTAGCACAACACATTCAACAACATGTGTCGCCAACAAGAGGTTTACACGACTTTGAACCTCTCCCCTGCCTCTCGTCACATGGACAGATGTATTGCAAGAATGTGCAAGATTGAACCGGCGAGCCAGGGGCGTTCTCCAAGCTATGTAGTACTGAGTTATCGTTCCAGCCACGACTGTCCAATACTACTGCCGGTTCTCGTGCCTATCACGAGTTATCCAGGCACTATCAAACACGCTAACCTCGAAATAGGCGTGTCTTGCCTTTTACTCCAGTATCCTGTAAGCACGTCGATTTCGAGTCTACATGACACTACGGAGCGGTGGAAAAGAGTCCAGAAGGATCGGATACCAAGTTGCGTCGCATACACGAACCCCCGCCAACATGACGCCAGCGTGTACCCTGAACCAGAGCACTTTTTTGTACTTGCCCGGGTCGAAAACACGCTCGTGACGCCAGTTCGCCGCTTACAACAACTGCGTTCCACGACGCACCATAACGCGTATAATTCCAATCCATCGCGCCACAACCATGCTTGCTTGTGGTTCGCACATAGCTCCCCGCTCCAGGATATTAGGCGAGGAGGTCGTTCACGTTGGCGTCGCCGAACTCTTCATCATCCCTCCCTGTAGAACAACACACAGGCAGGCAACGACTTTGTCTATGCCTTTTGAAGAACACAACAGCAGTAGTGGCGTTGAACTGGCTTCACATGGTTCCTTTTCTGCGACCAATCTCACGGTGGCTTTGACGAAATCGGTCGAGACAGTTGGAAATTAATTATTCTCCAAGCCCGCGCCGTAGGCCCCACGTCGAGAACGAAAAGGAGAGCACGGACGAGGCTGGGTATAGTTGAAGTTAACCAAGAACTCGTTTCGGCACGCAAGCAAGAACCAAACCTCGGTCCGCTCCTACGCCTTCTCGTTCCACAACACGGGCGTTTGGTGCGTTTGCGGGAGATCCACTGCCGGAATCGGACCCTCCTGTGTTTCGTTGCTCGGATCCCCGCCGGTCTCCGCCAGACCATCGCTTCTCTCTTCCGGGATTTGGGGCAGGCTCGCCAGGATTGGCCACCTAGTTGCCGACAAATGAGCCAAAGTAGCATAATTTCCCGAAACGAGCGTGTGAACATTCTCGACGTTCCTAGGTGGACGTACCACATGGCCGGTATTGTACCTGCTGCGGAAAGTAGGTATCGAGGGTACCAGGAGTACCGACCGACTGCTGAAACCGTTCAAACGAAGTACGCCAAAACATCTATAGTAGTATGCTGAGAATGAATCGTGCTTGTAGCGAAACAACGAAGCAGTAGTGCATGACGACCCCGCAAATTTCTCTATCCTTACCTCTGTCGTGGCCGTGCTTGGACCCCTTCCAGGCGTCGCCCTGTCCAATCGTGCTAGCTTATGCTGATAGTGTTGGAATGGTCGGTCGTGATCTCGGCAAATTGCCACCAGGTAGCGAAGACCTGTGTCGCGTGACCACCAGAACAAGGTGGCGATGGGGCTTATCGCAAGTTATTTGTATACAATACCCCAACGGCGTTGACAGGAAGAGGTTGACAAAGACAGACAGACAGACAGACAGACAGACAGACAAGAGAGGGAGGGAGGAAGAACTAGAGAGATCTGTGACAATTTAATACTCCCACCATAGCACCCCGTCGATGGTACTGATCCCCCGGAAACAACTTACTCCACGGAGATCAAAGGTCGATTTCATTCCCAAACCATCCCGTGCCTCCCAAGTAGTCGCGTTAGAACCAGCCGTGGACAGATTAACGTAGGCGAGATGCAGAGGAGAGGTACCCCTTACTTACATTCGAGGTTTTCCGGGTACTCGGTGTGGATTTGCTCATAGAGCTCTAGCGCCTTCTGGTAGTTACCCATACGGCGGAAGCAGCTCGTGACCATCAATCGCCACTTTACCTTGGAACGGGGACGGGAAGGGGGGTAAGGGACAGATGGAGGCATTTTCCACGACACATAAAAAAGAGAGATCGATGCTTGGCGCAAGCACAACGGTCAAAACACTGATAACAGCAGGGTTATCACCCGTCCATCTGGATTTGGTGTTCGAGGCAGCGGTATTGTAGCTTTCACCGGCTCTTGGAACGTCAACGCAACAAAACAACAACAAAATATACACGAGGACACCATACAATGGTTTCGGGAGAGCCCCAACAGGCACATAGGACACTCTTAAATTATTTCGTCTCACCTCCGTGGGCTGAATCTGTGCCGCAGTCTCAAAGTAGTGTATTGCTTTCTCGTAAAGCTCGCTCTTCACGTACCACACGCCCAGCCACGATATCACGTCCAAGTTGACAGGATAATGCCGATAGCTGGCGCCAAAAATCACGTTTTACACACGCGAGCAAGACTTGTTTGATTCAACACGGAACCCCAACACTTTACGTGGTTGATAGTTCAACATCACAGATAAGGCGGCCTCCACCTTGTTAGCGACACTCCCTACATAAATGCGGCTGTTCATCACCTCTCTTTATGGTAGAAGTATGCCTGGCTATCATCATCTTCCTTGTTCGCGATGTGCCCCATTCGACTCAAGATGCCTGGGTCAGTCGGAACGCGTGCAAGTAAGATGTTGAACCACTTCGACGCCTGCGGGAGGTTCTCCATGTGAGCCTGACAAAAGCAAATCCACCAATAGAGCAACGGGCATCCACTTTGTATTATTATCGAACGAGCCCAACGAGTAACATGCCCATTGGTCACCAACATGCGCGCATGCCGCTTGTGAGAACTCTTGCAGCTGTCTTAGGGCTCATAGAAAAACGAAGTTCAGAACATTGACACACTGCCGCGCAAGTCTGCAACAGTCGAATGTGAAACGAGGGTCGTTTGATTGAGGACTGAATCCTCTTCCAGAGACAGACATGCACCCATCACCCGCGCACCCTGTCGCTAAGTTACCTCGTATAGGTTTGCGATGTGATAGATAACCTCCGTGTTGTTCGGGATGATCGTGTGGAGCTTCTCGAACGCCTGGAGAGAGTCGCCAGGGAGGCCCAAGTGAATGTTCACCAGACCCAGGTTGTAGATTGCCTCCACGCAGTCCACCTGTGAGGACAGTGTCGTCCAACGTTTAGGTTAAAAAGGAGCCGCACCATGGGCATGCTGTGCAAGCAAGTACCAAGCAAGCTAGCAGGACGGGTGGAGACTATTGGGAATAGAATGTGGTTCTGTTGATTGTCGAAGGAAAAAATCGTGTTCCACTTCACTGAACCGCTGCGCGGTAGACACGGCCAGGATTGTGCAGTTGAAGGAGGCAGCCCTCCAGTCATCCACAAAATGTTGAACGCTGTTCACCCCTAGAGTATTCGCCTTGTGGCCTTAAGGCATGCCTAAACAATATATTCTCGAGGCAGTTCTTACCTCCACCCCGATAGCCTCAAGGAATATTTCTTTCGCGCGCTCATACTCCTTCGACATGAACAAGCAGTTCCCCTTGTTAACAAGAGCCTTGGCGTTGTACCGGTTGTGCCGGATTGCCATATCTGCGTACGAGTCAGCGCTCTTGAATTCACCTAGGTCACAAGGATATGGCGAAGAGAACAAATTGCGCATGGATTAAACCGAAAAACAAGCGTCATGTATATCACAGAATGTCATGATAGGGTAGGACAGGCACCAGCAACAAAATACTGACAAGAACTAACGTCTGAGGTGGCGGTCATCCTGCGGTGAAAGGGGCCTATCGACTGAACCAAGTGGTATTGTGGAATTGGGATCGACAACACATTACCTTCGAGGAAGTAGATGAATGCGAGGTTGGTGGCCGCCATTGCTTTGAGATGCTGATCTTTCTTCTCGAACGCCTTCAGGTGCTCGATTGCCTGCGTTTTTTTTCGTCGTGTTTGGAGAGAGAACGACAGTGAACGGAGGATGGCGAGATCAAGTACAGTTGCAAGGCCCACCGAAGTTCTTAAAAATTGCAGTGTTCCCGAATCTGCGTTTCCTCATCATTTGCCCGATTCGCTCAGACGGCGTCAAGGGATGTCCCCGGTTACCTTGTCAAATTCTTTGGTCTTGAGGTAGTGCAAGGCCTTCTCGACTTCCATCTTGGACGCGAGGTACTCGTGGTCCAACTTGATCGTCTCCACCACCCAGTCGTATCCTGATTCCCAGTCCTTCTTGTCCATCACCGGAGCTATGAGCTTTGCCGCCGTAAAGACGTAGCTGCAAACACGCGTGTAAGGCGCAGGCCAGACTGATGTCGGATTTGTTGACCGCATTACTATCGTACTCGAGACAAAGCTAGCACAGCGATACAGCGACACAGATAGATTCTGCAGGAGGGACATCTGACTCACGTCAGACCAAATTTCCAAACGGTGCGCGGAAGCTCAAGTCCAGCACGAAGAGAACCCCCCACTCAACTCTCTAGCTATCTTTTACGACTCCTCACTGTTCTGCTTCCTTTTTTCGCCTCTGAAGCTCTGCCCGCAGCTTGTCTGGCGCCGCCTGTCCTGTGATCTCAGCCTCATCCGCCGCCTTGGACTCGTCCTCGTCGTTGTCGTCTTCGGTGGTTCCCTACCAAAAGTTGGATAGACAAGCGGAACAGGGTAAGTACTTGACCATCGTTGCCTCGTGAACACGGTGTTAGCACGTTAACACCCCAGAACGAGGCCTCTGGTCGGGCTCGACATCATGCTATTACCGACGAGGCCAGCACCATGAAAGAGCTAGAACTGCGTCGGGGGTAACCCCTAGAATAAAGTGTGGTCGAAACTTATGACACACTATTGAGTAGGCCCGAACCGTGACTTCTGCGCCAACAAGATAATCACCCGCAAGGTCTGTATTATGCTGGTTCTTTGTAGCGTTCTGGCCGGCAGCAAGCGTAGTTGTAATTTATACGTCAGAGTCGTTGGTGGCAGGTAACCTTATGTCGCAAAGGGTACCAAGTTTGCAGTTCGTTAGAACAACCCACCTCCCGCGTGATGTTTTATATTGCCTACTAGCTGAGGTTCTCTTTCTTGGGTCAGCCCCGAGCGGATCGTTTCCCGCACATCCCAAGAACCCCAAGCGGGGGGTGTCTCAAACACTTGTACGATACACGGTGCTCTTTATGTCGCGGCTGTCGACTCCACGTGAATGATAGAAAAACGCAGTTTTTATCCATTTGCGAACTAATTGAAACCCGCGAACGAGTCGCTTGTTTTGTTGTCAGCAGAGAGGTAGAGACACCAACGTGCATTGGCAGGGCGTATGCTCTGGACTAGCCAGCCCAACCTATTCACATGATTCGCAATCCTTGTGGTCACCTCTCTTGGAGTGTACAACTGGAGGATTCACATTCACAACAATACCTGAACTGGAATAGCTGCAAGCCGTTGGAACGCCTTCTTCATCGAAAGTCCATCTTCCAGAGCGTAGTAGCACAGGACTAGATTGAAGCCGGTCTGGTGGTCGGGATTTCCCTGCATGATTGTGTCATACTGACCGATCGCGTCCTGTCGTGCACATTTGAAAATCAAGTTGAAGGGACCTGATTAACACGTAGCCGGCTGGGGTCGTTGCCAGGACTACATACATAAACACGTTCGTGACGTACTGGTGCTGTCGTGAACCAACTGGTGAACGGTTTTATCGTGACGGCGTCGATTGTTGAAATTACTCCAAATCAAATTACCGCACATATGGTGAGGAATATCACCTGGAATTGCCCCATGCGCACAAAAGCAGTCCCAATGTTGCGGATGATCTTGAAGCGCACTTCTTTTCCGGTGTTGGGAACCTCAACAGGGTAGGAAGAAACATGTTGCACACGACGAAATATGCAAGTGAAAGCAACACAGGCATCAACCATGTCAATCAGGAGCACTTCAGACCTCTGCGTTGTGTTACTAAGTGCCGTTTCCGCAGAGATGGAACAGCCCTTTGGTTCCAACCATGTGCGAGGCATACCTGATCCAGTGCCATTCTGTAGTTCTTAATTGCCTCCGGGTATTCACGCTGGAGCAGAGCAAAGCGGCAAACAAGGGCAGACGAATCCGAAGGCAAGAGAGACACGGTTCATTAACGAAATAACAAACAATCGACGGTGTCCGCTTTTCCCAGCCTAGGCAATTTTTTGTTAACATACCAGTAGAATACATCTCGAGGGCAGGTGTGACACAAGCGTCGAAGGGGGATCTTCCTTACGACTACAATATCCCGGGGGCAGGAACCCCGGAAAAAGATTTGTTATGACAAGTAAGAAACGTGACCCCCCTCAGAACACACACTACCACAATAGTTGATTATTAAGATGACAGAACTACACAAACACACATACAAGAGGTAGAGAGGGGATTAAAAACGACGCATCCCCCTGGAATAGTTGTCATTGCATCTGTTGCGCGCGGACAAGTACGTAATGCAGCAGGAGGGAGGATGCTTCGCTGTGGTAAACTTCAGCTTTCTACGCTTGCAAGATAGAATCTCTCGACAGGATTTGTTGATGTCGTCCTTCTTTATCAGGTTCGAAAAGCGCGATGGCTTGCAACAAATGCACCCTTGGCAAACCCGGAAGTCGGTTGGAGCAACATTGGTCGGCCAATCACCTCAAATTCAATGTTGTTGCGCCGGGATGGCCTCACCTGCTCGTAGTAGATATTACCCATGTTCGCCCGAAGTCGTCCAGCCTGTGGGTACTGTTTGTTCTTCACGATAGCGCCATACTCTCGCAAGGCCTGCGGGTAGTAACGCACGCTCGTTGTGATTCAGCCCACAGGAGCTTCGTAGACTTACTACCTCAGGAGGAACCAAAGATCTATAGAACATTGGACTAGAAGGGAGAACGCTGTTGTCTGGTACATGATAGGCATCACCTCTTTCTTCATGCCATTCTGGTGGTAGCAGTTGGCCAGGTTAAAGCAAACCGCATAGGTGAGGTCGAGGTTGATTTGGTCGACCAGGCCGTACCTTTCCCTCTGCTTGCACAGGGCCTTCTCTTTCTTGTCCTGAATGACCAGAGCAAGTGCAAGGAGTGGCACACCCATCACATACCAGACGAACGAGCCGCGCGTGCTTGTAATCCATGCGTGTACAGCAGTGTACAATACGATGGGTTATCGGAAGAAACTGCCAGCGAAAGTTAGCACCGATTTACTGTGAGCTGCGCTGAGAACAGTCCGTTCGAAGAAAGGGAGCACTGCCCTGGCTTCGAAAGGTCGTGTACTCATTGTTGCCGGTTATCCCGCAATGAAACATTCATCACCTTCCCGGCGTCCCTTAACCTGGTACCATGGAAATAAGTGAAACAACCAAACCGAAAGCTGTTCCTGACTTACAGCTTCTTTGGCCTTCTCTAGGGCTTGGGAAAAGTCTCCCGAAACACATGCGGTGGCACTTTCCTCCATCATCGCGTGTACCTATCCGGGAATGTTTAGAGCACACGGAAGTCGAACAGCACAATGTTTAGGTGGAAGCAACAATGATGGGAAGTTCCAGTGCAATTTGTTTGGAGCACCTGAACCTTTTACAAGTACCCCAACATGATCACAACGAGATCAGCTAACCGAGGATCCTTTCGTGCAAGTTCAATCTGCACAAGACACGAGGACAAGGTTGGAGGTACCTGCCGTTCCATCTCCTTTGCGAGATATTCTGGACCGTTGTCAGACTTCTCTGCCAGCGCAGGGGCGGGGCCATGTCCTTGGTTCAACGGGTCGAATGTTCCTTGTTTCTTCGACTGGTAACCGGCGCCGGACACCGAAGTCATCGGTCGCGCTTCCCCACTTGCCCTCAGGGCTGTCCCCGGCACGGTCTAGTGCAACGGGCGTCATACCAGAAGAATTTGTAAATGAGGTGGAGTTGACATCCGGTGCCATGCCACGAACAACCTGCAACGGTGGTGCTACCACCAAACGGGCATAGTTTCAACCTTGCCCGAACATGGCATGACACAATTAAGTGATCAGAGTACGCTGCATACCCCCCTATCCCCCTTGAACCTCCTGAAAATCACCCGACGTTATACCGTCTCCAAATCGCACACAGGTATCATCGGGGGGTAACATCAGGCGCGCCTGTCCATGGCAAAATCCGGTGTACAGAACGCGCCACTTAAGGACCTGAGTCAGAAGAGGTTTCAAAATTTCCAATAAGTAAGAACTCACACTATACAAATGTTGTATTGGTTCTGCTGCTTCCCACATACAGCGGGGCAGACTGGAAAGAATGCCCAGCCTCCAGATTCAGTGCTTGCCACACGACATCGAGCACCAAAGACACCCAGTGACCCACTTCGGGCACTATTCATCATCTACACACATCACCCAGACCACTCGTTCCGCATCCATTTATTTCCACATGTAGAGTGATGTAACGTGTTAGCGTTCGTATTTTACACCAGCTGAACTCACCCCAGTCATCATCCTGCCCATTTGTGTTGGCGGAGGCCTGCCAGTACTTGTTCCTGGGGCTCGCATTGCAGTCGACGGCCCAGAACTTCGCGTTGCCCCTGCCGTGCCCAAAGCACTAGTCCCCGGGTAGGTGTTGTGCAACACAGATCCCGGTAGCTGGCTTGGAATGCTGGAGGGTACGCATCGCGCGTATGGTTCATTTCGTGATATTGCACAGCACCGGTTGGGTCAGGCATATGGAGTGGTACTTCATCAAAAACACAGGTATTGTCTCTCCGAGGTACACGCTCCCATCTGATGTGCAAGACCACCACACAACCTCCAAATTGTTTGTATCTGGTCAGGAACAAGTCGTTACTCATCCAACCTTGTGAATCTACACGTCCGACCCTGCACCGCTTCTGCTTAAGAGTACAGCATTGCCTTCCCTCACGTGTACACGCCAACGAATGCCTTCCACAGTTACAGCAGCGGGTAAGAAATGTCGAAAAATCTCGCCGGGACTTGTACAGAACAAAATCAAATGCAGTAGGTTCGTGAGGTTGTGGATTCATGAACTTCCGAGGCACGATAGTCTAAATACTCTACAGCAGAGCATCGCTACAAGCTCAACCCACAATTCTGCCCGATGGCCCTCTTACTTCCTCTGTGACGCGATGCGAACAGCGACTATATTCGGTCTAGTACGGGAATCTTAATGAGCACCTGTTCTTACGGTCAAGTTTTTGGGTCCATCTTGAGTTTTAACTCCCAGATTGTGTGGCGTTGTGTTTACGCCTATGGTCCGTCCAGAAAAAATTTCCATTTGCGTTTCAGGCCAGCCATAACTTTCGAAATATGTCGAATTAGAGGGAAATTCAACCATGATATGCTAGCAACCATGATATGCTAGTAGTAACGCCCCCACATCACAACCAATAAAGGTTTCAACCACACACTATGGAAATTTCACCACTCCAATTTTCAAGTTCTTTTGACGTAAAAAATGTGTGAAGACTGGAGAAAAATCTCGGGTTAACGCAAATTCATTTTTCGGGAAAATCGGAAACAATACTATTTGCGGAATTTCGAGAGGAATCGTTTGCCACACCTTAACAAATCATACGAGGTATGTTAATTTATCGCTGGAGATTGAGAACATTTTTTCCGGTTATTTGGTGATGGAAGGCGAAGAGCAAATAAGACAAAAAAAGCGATCAACAGATTTGTGCGCCTGGAGACGGGGCGTTATACGGTGTGTTTGAAATTCTTTAAGAACCTCCCCTACCTCGAGAAAAGTGTACCAAAGCGTGGGGCAAAAAAGTGGATTGAAGACCCCAACCGGACCTACAAGTGTGTGTACGTCTCGGGTGGCGTGCGACAGAGGTCCCATATTTTCTCTTTTGCATATGTATGAATGAAGCAAGGGCTTCCCAAATCAGCAAGTGAGCAAGTGAGGCTCAGCCCGACTACTATCAGAGGGCCGGTATTGTTGCATGTACATGTACAAACTTCAGATTGTTGCATGAACTAGGTCAACAAGTCGAGAACAGAGCAGCTTCTGGCTTGCTTCCTCACTTTTGGATCCTTGGATCCTCAGTTTGAGTCAGGGAATTGAACCGCTGAGCACTACTTGCGCTCACACCTACCTGTAGTTGAAATCCTCGTAGAGATCATCATCTGGATCCGCTGGTTTCCCGAGATCCACACTCCTGTTACCGAACAACATTGTGAACTCAAGAGCTGAGAGAGAGAGCTAAGATCCACCACGCTTCCCGCAGAGAGAGGGAAGAGAGGAGATGGAAGGGAGAGGGGAGCGGGAGGGGGGGAGGGAGGAAGCGGCGGAAAAGTTTTTTTCTGGTTACGCCGCATTTTTTGGCGGTTACGCTTTTTTGCTATTTTTTCTGATCCTCGACTACACAACGTACTCCGCATGTCCGCATGTGTACAGCAGTACAACTTTTTTTTTTGTAGAAAGTGTACACGACATCATCATCAACCCATCATGGAAGGAATCCCACCCGGAAAGAACCTAAGGGAATGTGTGCGTAGAAGTCCGCACATAATAAATCCAGTGTCGCCATCGACGAAGACGCGCACACCAGCAGCTGCTGCGCAAACTGTGCACTCTGTAGGGTCCACCATGCCGCTCTCGGCTCTGAAGGCCGCTGACCAAGGGCCGCACGAGAGGCTTCCGGATTCACCGGTTGGCCAAAAAAGCGCTGCCGCCTTTGTACCACCAAGGCGCTCCCGTCGACGAGCTAACCCCCGTCATGACCCACTACAACTTCAGGACACTGTAAAGTTGGTCTCGACAGCCTGGAGTCCAGGAACCGAAGAATTACCCACTAGGTGTGTGTTGGGGTGCATAAAGGGGGTGTGCGTGTGAAAGAGTACAAATCCTTCCATATCGCTACCTGGAGTACTACAGCAGCACAGTAAATGTGAATTGCACCAATGGTTTGTGCATATTTCCACATAATATTCTCGTCCGTGTGCTCCGGATCGGCGGAAGCCATGCACAGCAGTTAGCGCCCGTCGTCAGTTTGGGATCGAGGATCGAGGCTCAATTTCTATTTCGTCACCACTGGTGCCCTTCTACACAATTCGGGATATTTTTGAAGTACCAAACGGGCACGTTAAAAATGAAAAGTCTAGACTACAGTACCAGCGTAGTACAAAGCAGCTCGGTCGGGCGTATGCCGGGGTTGCGATCGGGGGGGCGAGGTGCGGGGTGGAGGGGGGGTTGAAGTGGGACGGCGATGGGTCTTGTACAACCACGTCCGACGGACGCGTCGTGTGTTCGAAGAGGACACGAGTTTCCTTCAACATAGACACACGTGATCTGCTTTACTTCTAAGTTACCTCCACCCTTTCCCTCGGCCTCACCCCTTTTGTTGGTCCAACAGTTTCTGCACTCAAAGCGTCAGACCAAACTCATCATTCTGGGTTTCGAAATCTAAGCAATCGGACCCGTTTCTTCAGGTAAATTCCAATATGTCAATGAACTGTTTCGTGACAATTGTCGCAATGTATCTCAAGACGTTGTAGCGTCATATCTCATGAAGATATAGTTCGCCAAATCCTGTGTTATTTGGACTCCCTCTCCCCTCGTCCAGCAGTTGCGAATGGTAAATTAGACAGCCAGAGCGCTCCGAATGGCTACTCTTGATGTCCATACAACCACGAGCACATCGCCGGACAACCATCGTCGGCTCATTCCGTTTTCTGCAGTGTGAGACGCACTTCTGCTGGCCGGGGCCGTTTGAACACATATTGCGGCCTAAGTCACCTCACAATATCATTGTGCTCCTGCTGCATGCTCCTTCTCTTTCTCGTAGAAAATGGTTGCTGCAAAAAAACTAAACCTGGAACGGCTACCTTTCAGAGATGCATGTTTGTTCCAGTACGGTCTCCTTCCGGACCAGTACACGCCCCAAAGGTGAGTATCGTGTTGGTTTTGTTCGTCTCCGGCATGGCAATGTCGTACTCATGGGGTGGTATATCCATCGATGCCTAAGTCGGAATTTCGATTGAATGTGATGAAGCGAATGGTCGGTACTTCCGAAAAAAAGCCAACATCCTTGTCACGCGCGGAAGGAACGTCCCCCTCGTTCATTGAAAAACGCTAACCAACACCTAGTTCATCCGCGAAGCTGCTATCTATAACGTAATTTGGACACTACTGTCTTGTGCCGTCTTCATTACTCGCAGCCCAATACTTTCGATTGACCGGTGGTGGGGTCTCAGTTGGACACGAATATTACGTGTGCGCAGAATCATCGGGTGTGTTGTTCTATAACTAATTGAGGACCGCAGCTGAGAGTGATGAAGCTCGCACCACAACAATTGAAATAGTGTTAGAATACACTGCTCAATCTAGGCGACAAGATGAGAAACATCAATACGAAATAGGAGCGATCGACCCCGACGACATAGGTAGAACACTGTACAGATATAGTTGGGGGAGAGTATTGTTGAGAAAACGTCCCCGACTGACTACCACCCCCCACCCCCACCTGCGTAAACCCCACCCTAGTGCATTTTTTTCTGGGGGGATGCATATTTGCGGCGAGCCGACCCGGCCGGTGCGCCCTGGGTCCGAGCACACCCTCGTGCTGAGCGAAGCACGCATAGTATGATATGGCCGTCGTCGTCGAATACCGTATCATGGATAAGGAGCCGCCGTCGGGGCATGGGTAGTGCTAGAGGTAGACCCAGAGGAGGGGTTCAGTCATCCAGACACCGACAATCTCAATGTGCGCCACATGGATCTTTCGGGTATGTATTCAACGGGATAGAACGGTGTGTTGTGCTGCTATGTTGTTGTGTTGTCTACTGCGGTGTATTTTGATCCTTGCTTGTCGGGGAGTTACAACCTTCGAGTGACCCAACCGGAACCGTTGTTGCTGTTGCTTTGCTTCTAGTGTGTGTTGCTTTTTTTAGTTTGCGGTGGCGACAAATTGGCGGTGAGGTACTAACATGATATCCAAAGCTAACGAACGATGGTCTGGGAATTTGATGGAGACGTGGCGGAAGCTGAGGAAATCAGGAGGCTGACGATTATAAACAGCAAGACTCGGCACAATACACTGTAGAACAACAAAGTACGTCGAAGGATCGAGCGACTACAGTCCGGTACCATCATGTTCAGGTTATCAACGAGTTTGCTCCGTTGATTGTCGGCTCAAAACAAGAGGTTTGCTTCAACACGAATTGATCTCTTTCATGTCCGGGCCCGAACGTACTACTGCTACAATCGAGATTTGGTACTTTGCCGGCAAAGTAGATGTGAAAACATGAGCTTTGCTGTCTTTAAACATACTGCAGAACAATGGCTGACTGCCCTACTTCCGCAATCGCCCACAGGGACGATCAGTCAGCCAGCCTCCACCCTTGCGACAAGATCGACGCCAAGCTTCCGACGTCTCTTGTCCAAATTACTGCGAAGAAACAGCTCGAGAACGGGTCATCACCAATGTCCGCGGTTTCGGCGTGGGATGGAACGACAAAGAACGTCACGGCACCGTTGCTCTGGCGGAATCGAGAGCCCCTGTTCTAAATGACGACGCGGAATCGCGAAAGACAGCGTGGCAGTCTATTTATGTAGTCTAGATTCGAAGAAGATCAAGATCAATAGGTTTTACTGTCGAGCCAAGAAATTGTCAACTTCAACAGACTTGCTATTTAGTCTATCTATCATGACTTGCTAGTCTACAGGAACGGATCCGTGTTGTTCGCCTGTGGTTTTCTCTTACGATTCTGTACACTCGTTTGGGTTACTTCTCACCACGTACGACAATCAATGTCTGTTCGCCTTGAATAGTGCAAGGCAAACGAGGTACTGCATTAATATATACGTGTAATACGTGTACAATTGTAGACAATACAGCAACTATCTGCTAGTGTGTTTTCGTAGCATCTGTTCTGGGCGCCAATGTACACCTGTCAGTATGTTAAGTGCAACAGCGTACATATGGCATGCCTTTTTCACGTAGTAGACGCCAGGAACGAGGGTCCCTACTATTGGTGCACACGACGGATGCATGCGATGCACGCTGTTTGCTGAGCGGCTTTGAAGGTTTTGATGCGTTACGTTTTCGCACATACAGGGAATGCTAACAATGTTGATTGACAGCCTAAGAATTTCGTATTTTACGTGAGGCTCGCGCGGCTAATTGATGGCTACCTCTGTTCTGATTTGCCACGTTCGAAAAAGCGGAAATTGCAGTGTTGGTACACGTATAGTCTAACGTGTCAACATCAATATGTTTTGGTTGTTTTACCAGATGTACGTTCGCAACTGAGGCAGGCCCTATCCTGAAACCTTCATCAATGACGGGACTCCGTGGGTCAAACGCAAACAAAAAAAATCAACCCGTCAGCGATCAGTCTTGTCACAATCACATAGAATAAACGGTGGCGTCATAGAGCAACTCTCAACCTTCTTGATCCATCAAAGGGCAAAATTAGGCGCTACTACATAGTACAAGTCTGCCGTGTTCCGCTCAAGCAAAGCTCATGACGCTACCACCGCATCTGAGTCTCACCGTACTTTTCCGAAAGTAGCTTCATGCTGCGCGAATCTAGCCCGCAAGTGCGAACGCTAGTCGTAAAAGGTGGCGAAGTGCCCTGCTGAGATTAACCCCTAAAACCCAACGTTTGGCCCGTTTAACGAGAACCCCACACACTAACAGTTTCAAACTGTGCAGTAGAGCAGCGAGGTTGCGACGCTTCAAAGCGCAAAACATCCGGAATCCGTGTGCCGTGCGTCTCGTCGTCCGCGTCCACGCTGTCGTCTTCGTTCAGAAGTCCAAGCTCGTCGTTTCAGGGTTGTCTGAATAGTGAAGCGTCGCAAAAGCACCACAAGGAGGTAGTTCACCGTCGTTGTTTAATTTTCATCAATCAACCAATGTGGATATCACGTGAGCAACACAACACCGGCAACAACAAGAACAAGAACAAGAACAAGAAGACAAAAACAACAACCACCACCACAGCAACAGGTACAAAACAACAGAGCGAGGTACGAAAAAAATAAGACTCCGGTGAAACTTAATCCTAATCGCCACTACCACCGACTCCGTGGCGAGAACAACCGCCCTCCACTCCCTCCCCGCCATTGCCACCCTCACCCACATCACCCAAGTTCGCCTCTCCGCCTCAACGGCCTGGTCATACCCCCCCCCGGTGTTTGCCATCGGGGTTTGGGTTTTCGTCGCTTGGCAACGACGTTGTAAAACAAGCCCCCCACTCGGTGTTTGCCATCGGGATTGGG